AACGGAAGATGTCGTTGAGGAGGTCGTTATTGTCGCTGTTGCTGCTGTTTGTCCACTCCTTCAGCTTTTTTCTTGCATATATTGAAGCAATAACTTTTCAATTTTTCCGAGTAAATTTAATCCTTTCACCATCATCCGTCATATCAGTTCCCACCGCCCGTCACGAGTAACAGCAAGTTTCACTCGCCTTCGGGCTTTGATCGAGCTTCAAAAAAATCCTTTTAAATATGTAATTAAATGTAGTAATACGTACGTTGCAGATACTGCACTAAACCTAAATTGATCCACAGGTTTCTTATGACAATCCAGGCAATCTAGTCTAAAAAAGTTAACAGCTGTATTTTGCTAAACTGTTTTTTCGTAAGATCGTCATGATCGAGCTCTTTCCTACTCATTGCATCCAAGACGGCCGCCCGTAACGGGCAAAGCGCGTGATCTCGAGGATCTTACGGGAAAATGGGGGACTGTGAACAGTCTATTACAATCTCTTATTTTTATGGGAGGGAGTGGGCAATTAGACTTTTAGTACATTATATAACAGATTGTGATAGTTTCATCTTGGCCTTAAGAGAGGATACCATAGATTGTCTAGATTAGGTCCTATTCAGTGTGAAAAGTTATTCTGATATTGCTCATTTTCATCGGAGTCAATTCACCGGCAGTTCAGTGATATCAGAAAAATTGCTCTTTTCATGATTTGCCAGTCCTAAACGCCAAGAAACCTGGCGACTGAAAAAGCCATTTCTTTTCGCAATTCATTTGATAAATATATATGTCGACCAGTATAGGTAGCTTTGCAGTCGGCTATTGAGTAAAGACATGAACCTCTGCTTCAGGGCTTTTCCTTAAGGAAAATGCCCTGGGGATCCAGTGAATAAATGTATCTGACGTTAACAAACTACTATATATTTTGCTGTTTCGTTGTCAGATATAATGCAGTCCTTCTCCTCTAATGTTTGTATATATTGTTTTAAACCTTCCTTTCGCCTCTACTGCATTCGCATGACAAAGGTGACTAAAATTATCACGAATAAGGGGGAGCCTGCTATTTTAAAAACGTAGATGTGACGACTGGACTGGATGATAATCGTTATTTATGCACCTATAGATAAGAAGGTCATCTATTTTTGAAGAACAGCTAATCTTACAATTGACTGCTGTTTACTTTTGTGTAATTCGTAGACCACGTTTCTGTTCGCACGCAATAAGAATTAAGGTGATAAAATCGGTATTTAGCATTACTAGTTTAAATTTTAGTACTTACAATGTGGTCTACCCCCAAGCCCTCGTACCTATCATTTTTGGAAGGAACATTGCAGATAGCCGAGTTCTAGATTTGAAATACTTGAGTCTTCAGTCTTGAGTCCTTCTTCTCCAGAGGGGTGGGGGGAGGGGGGGGTGACTCCTAGCTTAAAGTGGCAAGGATGCTTATTGAAAGATTAGAATTAAAGCCTTATCAAGGCGCTATCCCCCCCCCCCAAAAAAAAAAAAAAAAAAAAGAGAGTTTTTATGAAATTTTTTTTTTAACAAAAATAAACCCTTGTTCCGTTTTTTTTTAAGATTTAAATATTAAAAATTTATATAAATTAACTACGAATGACACAAAGCTTTAGAACAAATTAAAAAAATTCATGATTGTGTTGTGTTTATTTTTGTGTAATTCGTAGATTCAGTTTTTGTTCTCACGAAATAAGATTTAATGGGATAATATCGTTATTTAGCATTAATAGTTAAATTTTTACTTCCTACATTTCGGGCTACCCCCAATCCCTCGTTCCTATCGTTTTTGTAAGGGACATGGCAGATAGCCGTGTTCTATATTTGAAATTCTTGAGTCTTCGGTCTTGAGTCCTTCGTCTCCAGGGGGGGGGGGGGAGGGGGGGGTGACTCCTAGCTTAAAGTGGCAAGGATGCTTATTGAAAGATTAGAATTAAAGCCTTATCAAGGCGCTATCCCCCCCCCCCAAAAAAAAACAAAAAAAAAACGAGAGTTCTTATGAATTTTTCTTCTTAACAACATTAACCCTTTGTCCAGTTTTTTTTGAAGATTAATATATAACAAGTTGATATAATTTACTGACGAATGACACATAGCTTATGAGCAAATTAATAACATGACTGCTGGCTGGCCAAAAATATCACTTATTTGGCTAGAGAGCTAGCCTTTCGATAGCCTTCATCTCATAAAACAGCAATCTTTATTATAGCAGGTTTAATAATTACGTTGTTTATAAAAAAAATATGTTCTTTACACCAACTAACGATAGCGTTCGTGATCTCAAGAGGCCGCATTTCAATTATATAAACACTCCAAGAACAACATCCTTTGTTTGCGTGTGTGCCTGTTTTATCTGAGCTCTACTGGACGTGACTTGCCTATGTCACGTTCTGAAAAGGGTTTTTGATAACAATCAACCAAATTATGTTTAGCCGGTGCCACGCCAGATTTGGTAAAAAAAGACAGATATGTTTATCAGTTATGGAGTATAATAGCGGTATCTTGACCTTAACGATTTCAACGTTAAAACAACATCAACGATTCGATGAACTCTAAAATATTGTGGCTCAAAAGAGCAACCGATATTTAGGCAGTGGGAAAAAGTCAAAATTTAACAACTTCTTAAACGCTAACACTTCACGTTTACTTTCAAAGCTTGTAAAGTTATGATTAAGTCTTCAGCTTCTATTCCACGTACTCAGTAATAACAAAAGACATGAAAACGGCCAGTGTTACCCTTTGTAAACACAGAAACCGGAGGTGCTCCGCGCAATATAAGTCAGCCACCCTAAATCGAGCCGGTAAACGAGTAGACATCCTGCGTATTTTTTTGCTCTCTCCGATTCAGTGTACACTTATCATTATGGCCTCCGTAACTGAAACAAGCTGATCACAATGCCTTCGGTTGGCGAAGGAGCAGACCATTAGAAAGTTAAGGTGGGGGTAGGGAATTTTCAAGTGTGAATTTATTAATTTTTGTTTTGCATGAATACATTCTCCTTCTTTTTTTTACGTCTTCCCCTCTTTCTCTTTAACTTTTCTAATACTGGCGACCTCCAGTAACTTCAGGCTTGCACTTAAATCGTGCATTTTCAAATAGAGTAAATGCGTTCTGCATCCATGACGGGATATCCATGACAGGATTAGAAGGTGAGGTAATCTTCAACAACTTGAAGAGTCCTATACCTGTATACGCCAATCACAACGGAAATAAACTCATTTTGGTTGGTACAGTAGTGCATATTAGCTACAGCTTTCTTAACCTTTTTTACGGTAATTCCGAAAATTCTTTGAATATGTTAACCGACGTTAGATCCAATTCTGTTGCGTCACCTAATTTACCTCGACGAACATTCAATGACTAAAAAAATGGGCGCCTCTAAATTGAGAAGAAAGTTCCATACTTAAATGTTTGCTGAGTTCTATACGTTATTATTAAAGGTGGGTACACTCCAAAGTCCTGAAGACTGGCAGATCCAGGCTGTTCAGTTTCGGAAACTAAAGACATGGCCTCTTAGCCTGCAAAGATCGAGGGCGTATTTTGCAGTGCGATCCATGTTTTTGAATAATAATATCCCGCGATTAATGTACTTCTGAGGCTTCCGTTAAAAAACGCTTGCTCTAGCTAATGGCCTCTTTCTCTTTAGGAAAACTTAGAGTACGGGTGCGCGGCAAGTCACCTGTTTAGCTCTGTTTCTATGGAGCATTAATTAAAGAAGTAACTTACCAAATGAATGACTATTCTCGTTTTTAAAAGTACACTAAATTTATCGGCTAATTCTTAACATATTTCCTGTCACCTACAAAGGAGGCTTAAGGAAGTCAGAACTTTACATGAACTATTTTAAAGTCCACAAATACCGGTAACTGTCAGGAATAAGTTACCACTTAAAATACTTTGTCCTCATCCTAAACGGAAGTGTATGTCATTTGTCTTCTCAAAGTTTTCGATCTAGCTTTATTGCAGTATGCTTCCTCGTTCGATATCTATATCTTTGATTAATTCGTGCATGTTTTAGTTTCTTGCTTTGCTTTTGTTGTTATTGTTGCAATTTTTATTTTTGTTCTGTTTTGTATCTTTTACCATTAAGGTCGATACGCAGAACTATTCAAAACTGAAGCATACTTTGTTTTCTCTTTATAAATAGTCCAATTTGGGGTACTGACTTTATGCTACTACCGTACAGCTTTTGAGTCGGTTGGGCTTCTGAACAAGCTCCTGGTATAACTATTAATAGTGAGTAACGCTGCTCCAAATTATGTCAATATAAAAGGAAAGAAAAACCTAATTCTTGGTATCCAATTTGGCTAGGCGATTTACAAAACTTGACTTTCATCTTACCGTGACCTCGGTTGTCTACCTATCAAAGATCACAGAAAATATTCTAGCTGTGTGATTAGACTTTAGCCTTGCATTTTTTGCAATTTACTGACACATGGATTCCTAAGCCGAAAAATGCGTCTTCTCTCGCAGGCTTATACCCTTATACGAGAGTATGAAAACATAACACTATCCCACACCCACCTGCTAGCTAAAATAGCTTCCTCCTGTGCGTGGGGAAATGTCTGGGGGCGACGTTACGCAAATATGTAAAGTAATCGTTTTGTTTGATTTTCTAGATAGCTGCTTCCGAAGGTTGATAACATAATGACCACAAAGTACTACGGAATTCTGGAATTTAATACCTGACGCAGATCGCGCTTAATTACTTATATAAGCCGGCGAGTTCTGTTAGGTCGACTAGAATAACAAATTGCCCATACGAAGAAAGAACACTAAAGCGATTTTCGAAGGAATAAGATTTTATCAACGATACGGTGATTTCAGTCACAAAAACGTTCTCTGGTTGGACACATAGGAAGATCTGCCTCACCATTTTAATCTTGTACTGAGCATCTCTCTAATCCATTGACCATTGGAGGTCACGAGCTTGTATCCTCAAAAAGCTTCTGCTAACTACATTTTGCTCAAAAAGGAAAACATCATCTTCCAAGGCATTATCATGAAGAACCAAACGAAAGACAGACCGAAAAAGCGCACTTCAGCATATCTGAAAATGTTCACAGTCGTGGTTTTTGGCGAAGCAAGAGTTGGAAAAACGTCGCTGTGTAAAGCGTTCCTTGGAGAGACATTTTCCAATGACTACGAGCCGACAATCGAGGACTTTTACTCCACACAAATTGTCCATAAGGAGAAAAACTACCAGGTTGACATTATAGATACCTGTGGCACGGAGAATTTTCCAGCCATGAGACGGGTTGCGATTAACAAGGCGGACGCAATTGTGCTTGTTTATTCATTAGACAATCCACATTCATTCGAACGCTTAGAACAGCTCCAGGATGAAATACTTCAAGAAAGAGGCAATAACGTTCCAGTTATGGTTGTAGCAAATAAATCAGACGTTGTTTTAGATGGACATGCACTCGAAATAACAACAAACGGTGGAAAACATATTAACACCAAATACGTAGCGGAGAAAGAGTGGGGCTTTCTATGGACAATAGCTTCAGCCAAAATGGCCTGGGGAGTCCATGACATCTTCCATGACCTCATAGACGCTTTTCATCTGCGGAGATCGCAATCGATGCCAGCAAAAACAAACTCTTCTTGGCTTAGAAGAAGTCCTCTGTTGAGTACATTCCGTCGCGGGTCGAGATAGTTTAGTTATAAATAGACTTGCACTGTAGCTATATGAAAACTATCAGGAGAGATTTATCTGTATCGCAATTTTTACGTCGCCGCTCTTGAATATATTGGCCAGTATGTATATGTGGTTAGTTTTTCTTCAGGAAAGTTCTTCCTTTGTTTTTTAATTTCGTTCTTTTTTAATGGCTAAATCCATAGGTTTTTTTTACTTATCAAAACACAATTTCATTCGTCGTTTAAAGCTAAAGGAAAAGTTAGATAGACTAACTGTAACTATTTGCATGTTTTTCACCGCCATCTATGGGGTAACGTTACGTTACGTAAGGTATACGCCACAAAGCATAAACACAAACAAGTTTCATGTTTCGCGAACTATCTTGTTTCAGGTCTTGCACAATCACTGCTAAGTCGAATTCTTAGAAATTCTTAGAAATTAAGGAAATGTCGCTAGCCCAGATGAGTCAAATGATAGTTATTAAGTCTGGAATACTTAGAAAATTACTGTATAGTAGATTTTATAAATAGTTTTCAGTTGTTGTTGGTAAGGTCTCAAAAATTGAAAAAAAATATTAAGCAGATATGCCCTCCTATCTGTAAAAAAAACGTACAGTTAATAATAACTTATAGGCAATAAAACAAAAAACTTTCAGAAGATAAGGGATTCATGCTAGTGTGCATTTAACGAATGACGTCATAAAAAAATACAAGCGAGACCGTAAGGATATGGTCTCCCTTGGCTCGACTAAGTCAGGGCAAGGGAGGAAACAAGTTTGGCCAGAATTAAATGAAAGATCTGATACTTAAAAACCAAAACTTAAAAAATCATATTATTATCCTTCTCGCGGTTAAGGGGCTGAAAGTGATCTTCAATGGTGACGGTATCCTAAATTTAGAAGGTTGCTAAGTGAATAGGCACGAAAAACAGTGAAGGGAAAGCGACCACGATTTGCACAACAAAGCAATAACTGAGGTCGTTTCCCATGATTAGTTTGCGAGGACAAACCTCCTCAGGCTATACACATTCTGGTGTTTACGGTATATTTCTGTGGACTCTTGGTGGGCCATTTACTTTCCTAAATGATGAACGTATGTGCCTATTTAAGAAAATGGTATGACATTGCACATTTTCCAACAAACTTCAAAATGCCAGGTTTGGAAAAAGATACTTGGATAAAAGACTAAAAAATCATAACTAATGAGATGATCAAGGATTTCGGCTCGGTCTAGAGGTAGAAGGGGGCCGGGGTAGGGATGGGGGGTAAGACGTGGGGGATGGGGGTAAGATGAGGCTATTGTGGCACTCAACTAGAAAGTTTTAAATGGTAGCGGTCATCAACAAACATGATGTCTAAATTTGGAGCGCATAATTTTACATTTGAACAAAAGATGATTGAACGGGATTCCTGAGATATGGCCTAAAACTGTTTAGAGAAAAAGCTATCTATAATGAAGTCCGCTATATACGGTACTACAGAGGCAAGCAGCGCATACTTACCCAGCAGAAGTTGACCCCATCTCCCTCCCTCCCCTCCCCTCCTCGCCTCCATTGACTCCGGTAGTTTAACTTTCCCTTTGGAATTTTGGACATGCAATATATGAGAAATAGGTCTTTAAAACTTAAATACCACTCCGGCTCTTACTGCGCGTCACGATAATTACAATGCTCTCTAATAAGCTCCAACTGAGCATCATCATAAACAGAGGGTCTGAATGGGGTTAACAGACTAGCGACAAACAGCGCGGAAGTATAACTGACCTGTACAGACAAAAAGAGGAAAAAATTACAGACTACCGACAGGAAAAATATTATCCGACATGGTCCGATATTGTAGGGATGTTTTTAGTCAGAAATAAATCGTACTTTTTATTTCTCATTCTTATCAAAAGTATGCGTGAGGGCCGGAATGACTTAAAATCACAAATCACAAATCATCGTTACTTATAGAATTTCCTGTCATCAACTTCATTTGTTGTATCAAATTGTTACAAAATCGAGTAGATTCGATTTCCGCTTTTTTCGTGGCAGGTATAGAGGACTTCCTATTTTGTGCAAGCAGCTCAAGCTCTGAGACCGTTCAAATGGTACGCCTTTGTTTCTTCTAATTTTTCGGAGAAAATCCAGGAAAGTGCGCGCTCATTTCCCGTGGAAACAGACTTCAGTCACTAAAAATAACTTAACTAAAATGCGACCCATCTCAAAGGCTAGCCTGGGCATTTCCCCTTCGACCACTAATTTCTCTTGATTACTTCACTGGGCTGTGAACTGGGAAGAACTGGTTAAAGATTGCTCAAAGTGGTGCAAACGATCACGCAGCTTAAACAAACCAGAATTTAGATAAGGTTCTGTTGTAATCAAAATATTGATTAATCTACGCGGAATAAAGAAGTGTTACCCTTGTATAGAGTTTAAATTGTGTCAGCTAAATAACTAATTGAAAACGTTATATTCAAGAAGGCTTTTGCAGGGACTGATCAAACAACGTGAAATGGAGTTAAGTTGCGATATTTCGACTGGCAACTTAACTCTATTTCACGTTGTTTGATCAGTCCCTGCAAAAGTTTTCTTGACTGTAACGTTTCAATTTGGTCTATTTTGACTGATCACGATCTTTTTGGATCCGACGTTGAGCAAGATTGATCGTACGTCGTACAAAGTTGTTGCAGTGGTTTTTTTACCTTAACTAAACATAAATAACTAAAATTAATAGTTAACTGGACTCAAAAGTAGAAGCCCGGGGTAGGAGGCAGTCAACCCTCGTTAATACGGACACTGAAGGGACAATAGCAGGGGCGTAGGGTGAGATTTTAAAAGTGTACACACAGGAAGAAAATTGTGCGCACCAAAGGCGTTCCAACTGGCTAGAGTGGCATTGGGGCATGGTCCCCCTAGAAAACTTTTTAATTTAGTGTCCCGGAAATGCCAGTTCCTATGTACTCAGCCAGACATTGTCAGTGAATTGAATACGAAGGAAAATGCAGTAGTTAGTCTTTATTTTACCCATCTCTTGTGTCATCGGTAATGTACAGCATTAAACGAAAAAAAGGGTAAAACAGTGACGCCGGTACCAGCAAAAGGGCAAGACGTCTACCCTTCAAACCAACACAAAGACACCAATAATTATAATGCGAAAAATTTATCAGTCATTCCGATTTAATGGTAAAAATGCTTTCAGGAAATGAAAATACAAAATATTTATTTTCCAGATTTGTGTCCGTATTAATTAAGCCGGCCCGCTGTGTCCGTGTAAAGCGAAGTCCGACTGGCCTCCTTACACAGTTATATGGCCAATAAGGGGATCTGACGCTGGTCATGGTATGATTTTTGTCCTCTCTGTTCTAAACAGAGTGTATAATTTCGCGCGAGTCTGTTTCATTTATAACCTGATAAACAGGGTATTCAGAGAACGGTTGATTTATTTTCTTTTCGAAATTTTCTTTGTACTTCAAGTATTCAAAAGCAATTACCAATAAATGACTTTAAATCAAGACGGCTTGCAGAAACAGTCGAAACAGTGTAATAAAATTGAGGGTGTCGTCCCAAACAGCGTTTTAATATTTTGTCTTTTTGTATGTTTGTTTGTTTGTTTGTTTGCTTTTTGTCTTACGGCGGGTCAGGGTTACCAAACATTGGTCAAGCACCCTCCCCCCCTCCCCTTCCCTATACCCCGAGAGTAGAAGTCGTACTTCCCTCAATGAAATTCAATCCAGCTTGGGTGCGCCACTTCCTTCTTACAAATATAGAAAGGACAACAAGCAGGAAAGTACTACTTAGTTTCAAAAGATAAACAGCCTTCTCCCCAAAACAATCTGAGAACCACTAAAATTAACAATAGTAACTTTTCCCCAAAATCATGTTTTATTCAAACCGCAGCGACAAGTTGTGCTTGTTTAATTTGTTCTCTTGTCTCTTTTCCCGACCAGTGTTCCCTGAGAGCTGTAAACATCAGTTTGATTGTATCTTACGAATACAGAGTGGAAGAACCTTTCTTTGGTCCTTTCGCTACTGTGCCATTGTGGCTTGATACACTGCACGTTCATCGTGTTCGTGTTGGACAACATGGTTGTAAGATCGATAGACGCCTCAAAGAGTATACATGTATGTACGGGCCCGACCTTCAGTTTTTTAAATAAATAGGGCAAACTATTCATGAAGGCATGCATGTTTACGTAAGGTAACTGAGAAGGTCGACGCTGAAGGTGGGTAAAAAACGAAAAAGGGCATTACCGAAATAGATCGGACACTATCGAACTGAATGATTTGAAACTCCACTTAAAACAGATACTTGGTCCAGAGACTCCAAAAGTCGGTCCGTAATATGGGGACACGTAGTCCGTCCCTTGGATGTCCAAATAAAAGACTGTTTGACCGTATTTATGCGTTTTTTTCGAATAAGGGTAAATAAAGGGAAGTGCAGACTGTCAACTTTTCCAGCCTGAAAAATCAGCTAAAATACTGTGACTTTTTGCAAGAGCCATAATTTTTGCGTTTGTTCATCGCTTCTGCATTCCTCAGTTTATAATCGAACGCTCGAGCTCGACTACGGATTGCCAAGAGAAATTTAGCTGTTGGTATTGCTTTGCCCTTTAATTATAAGTCACGCTAGTTCCAGTTTGCAACGCTCGACTGAGAAACGGCTCAAAGTCTCAACGTGGCGCACACTTATTAAGTCGTTCTAAGCAAGAGAAGGTGGTGAAAAAAAAAGGAAAAGCTGGCTTTTTAAAATTTGGCCAAGTTTTCGTTCTTATCCCATTTTTGCTCCATTTGTGGTGAAGATACACTTTAAGAATAACGGGATCTATAGAATTTGTTAAATGGGGGCGCCGGTGGACCAGGTTAGTAAGCAACCTAAGGGATAATCCCTGGGGACAAGGTTGGTTGCTAAGGAAGATAGAAGCGTGCGATTTGTCTTGAGCAAATGACAAAATATTTAGCAGCTATCCTTGAGTGTTCAGTAAATCGCCCAAGTTTAAGTTAAGGGCGTGGCAAATTGATATCTTCTTCCCCTTTTTAGCACTTCACGTTTTGACATTTCACCCAAGTAGAATCCTCCCTCTCGTTGATTCTACCATGCATCTAGCTAGATCATACCACTGCAGTGACTGTTGGAACTGAAAATGAAGGTGGAAGATTTAATTTTTACTCAATATGATACTCCATAAAAGTGGAGCTAGCGAGCGTGAAAAGGAATGAGATACAGTGGGCGCTCAGCTTATTTAAAGAAAACCATAATCATGGTGATAAAAGCTCTTTGTTGCTATAAACGTAATCTCCTTAGAATACACTGAAAGGGAATTTGAGATCCTTATTTTCTTTTACTGAAGGCGTAAAGTTCGTGAAGGGAGTTTTTTTTGGCAGCACGCCTCTAGATATCGCGAGCACAGTTTGAAGCATTAACCAGGGGTGTGTGACCGCTCTGTGTTATCCTGCAAAGTTAACACAAAAAAAGGACGTGGACAAATTTATTCAACATTCTCTATGTCCTTATCTAACGTGGATGACAAAATCGTTTGTTTCTTAAGCCGTTACGGAAGGCGCCCGTTTTTCTTTTAATTTTGTTGGGTACTTCATAAGATTAGAGAATTAGTTGTTTTAATCTTGTACCGTCATATAAAGATTCATGTATTTTAGGTTGTTCAGTTCCGGAATTTTAAAACGGGCCTGAAGTATAAAACCAAACATATTCGGTGAGGAAATTGGGATGTCATTTGCTTGTTAGAAACCTTGTTTTTAGTAACAAATTAAAAGAAAACTCACACGTATATATTAGAATGAGGTTAGGGCAATGTCAATTTATCAAGCACGTCTATATTTATAGACTGAGAACAAATCTATCTCTTCGTGTTTATCGCGGTTGTGTAAGTCTGTTTTCATAGATTATGGCCATTGGCCGGTCTCTTTGTCAAAACAATTATTACTGACGAAAAATCGGCAATATTCGTGCTGCTGTGTTTTTCAAAACATTGCTGAAAGCCTGAGTTTTAAGCGCACTAGTACTGCTAATAAGGTCGTACAAATTAAGCGACCATGTTTTTGTTGGCCTTCAGCCTAAAAGCCGGCTTTGCATGAAATGTTGAAAGAAACTCCTAGAGTCTTAACGGCACATCCTGAAAATCCATGGTTTAAAGTTGTCAATTTTATTTCTCCCAGTTATCGGGCAAAAAAACTATGCCCCCTAGATGCATTTCATTACTTTCAACTTTCTTCTTTCAAAGAAATTGTTAGTAGTATTCTCCGCAAAATCTTCGGAGAGATATTCAGTAAATCGAATTTAGTATCGACAACTGAATGTCACTGATCGGACTTTTGATGGAAGAGGATGAATCGTCATTGCTTGGTATACCTGTCCTCATTTCTTTCTCAAAAGGCTGAGCGCGTAGAATTGTGGGATTCGTTTGCTTGGATATACAAAAGAAAAACAAATCAAAACAAACAGACAAACAAATAACCTCTTCCGCAAATGCAATGATTGGCAAATACCGTAAAATTCCGAAAATAAGCCCCGGGGCTTATATTTTTCAAAGGCCCTTTTTGAGGGGCTTATTTTTGGAGGGGCTTACCTACGGAGGGAAGTTTGCGTTTCAAAATCGATTGGGCTAGCCTTATAGTTTGAAGGAAATTTACCGTTTTTGCTTTGTTTTACTTTGTATTTGAGGGCAATTTTCCAAGTACAAGCCCCCGGGGGCTTATATTTGGAGAGGCGATTTAACGGAGGGTTTTTTTTGGGGGGGGCTTATATTCGGAGGGGCTTATTTTCGGAATTTTACGGTGTTTTGTCTCTCTACTATGGTGCTCGGAAACAACAGGATCAGAGAAATCAATCTTTATATAGAGGTACGACGGTTCCAACAATAAGCTGAAACAAGAAGCCGATAAGGGCATCTGATATTATGTCACCACTGTGATTATACTTTTTCACTCAAACAAGATAAAATGACTTTGAAAAAAAATGCTGGAAAGGAAAGATAAGAGACACATAATATTATTTTTAAGTTTTCGTATGGGTGAACTTAATATTGTATATTTTCGCGTATCATAATTTTACCAGCATTGGGCGGCCATGAATCGAAGATATTAAACGGCCTTGAAAACTTGACCAAGAGTATTTAGAAGTTTTAGCCCGAGAGAGCATAATTTCATTTAAAAAAACAGCAAATTTAATGTTTGCACCTTTTTCTGATCATGAGATTCGAAAATGGTCGCAAATTAATTTCTGCATTCTTTTCCATTAATTTATTTCAGGTATGCACCTGTTCACATCGACGCTATCAAGAGAGTATAAATGGGCTACTGAGCCCCTTTTCACTCTCTTGGTGTTATTATTGACGTCCTTGTCGTCATTTTTTAATGTGACTTTTGTTTTAGTCCTACCGATCCACAATTCTCATCAGTCAGCTAATAGCTTTTGGCCACGTTAAACTAAATCATGGGAGAACATTCTTTTCTCCATGGCGATGAAATGTGTGTATATGTTGTGGTTCAATTTTATCCTTGATTTTAATTAAATTTGGTTTTTGGGTATGGTAATGTATGATAACGAGTTTGAAACAAAAGAAAATAAAATTTAAACCGCAAGGATAACATTGAACCACAACATCTACGCACTCTAATGAATTTTAATTTCTCGCTAAACCCGAGACGTAAAGACCATTCAGTAATAGAATATAAATTGATTTAATCGTTTTTTTAAGTTTGGATAGCTTGTCTCTCCAAGTAAACACGCCTTGCCATAAATTGGCGCTTTCTCACGCGCGCGCCCACTTCAGTGGCCGTCTGGAACCGGTTCTGGCCGATTGGATATTTTTTAATTAAATGTTTCGTCAAAATTTTTAGGCTTTCCCTGCCCTGAGAAAAAATAGCTTGAAAAGCTATAAAATAAATAGAACCTTTTTAGGATGAAAAACAAACAAAGCTGGCAAATGCTTTGCTGCAGTTCATTTAAATAATCGTATTGTAGTTAATATTATATATCGACCGGTTGTTGTAATAAACCGTGAGAAATTTAACTTAAGTTTATTGACAGGAACACGCGCGTTGATGAAGGTTTGTCAGGCTTTTTGCATAATGACAATGATTCCGTAATCATATCTCTAACTAAGTAATATATTAGACGCAAATTTTTTTGAAGATCATCGGACTAATCGAAAGACTAATCGCTTGATCAAACTACATTGTAGTCGTACAAATTTTCCTGGCTGACATATGCAAATCTTTGATTGTTTTCAAAGTCTTTTTTAGGCCCTAAACAAAGATTGCCGTGGATTTGATTATTGTTCACTACATCATGTGGGCGCTTCGCAATGTGCTATGCTTCAGCAAGTTCTGCCACTTATAAATTGAAACACTTTGCGGTGAACTACATTTCCGAAAAGAAATATCTGTCATAGACACGCCACGAAAGAGGTGGGATGTTTTTTAAAGTCTTTTAATCCTTGGAGATCGTATATAACTGGTGAATGTTGATGCAAAAGAGTAAGCAACCTGGACTCAGCTAAAGAACTTCTACTGTTCCTCTGAATTTGGATCGCTTAAGGTTGTTCTGTCAGTGACGAAATTTATTGACAACTGCGACTGAGTGACTCTACGCTCTAGCGATTCCTTGAACGATCTTGGGCAAGATCGAAATTACTCAGTTCACCATGCCAAAAGGTAAAGAAAAAAAAGAAAACGATAAAGACAGTTATCTGCAAAAGTTTACCATCGCCGTATTTGGTGACTCTGGAGTAGGTAAGACCTCGTTGATCAATCGCCTTGTTGATTTGAAATTTACCCCAGAACACATTCCCACGGTGGAGGACTTTCATGTCAAGCATTTGGCTTTTCAAAACAAGACATGTGAGCTTCAAATCATCGACACCTCAGGGACGTATGAGTTTCCAGCCATGAGAAGGGTAGCCATGGATAAGGCGGACGCTTTAGTGTTAGTGTATTCGCTGGATCGGCATGATTCGTTTACAAAGCTTGAACGTTACATGGATGAAATTCGCGCGATTAAGTCCTCAACAAAATGTTTCGAAAAGCCTGTTATTGTAGTTTCAAACAAATCTGACCTACCTAACATGAGCGAACCAAGGTTTGTGGACAAACGAGGGCTCAATGTTCATGTCAGCCTGCACCTCCAGGTCAAATATGGATGTTTCTGGGTAGATACGTCCGCCAAAACAGGCGACAACGTGGAAGATGCCTTTCACAAAGTTTTGGATCACTTACTAAACAACTGTGACAAGAAACGGAAAATATCACAAACAAATCGGCCAAAAAGGATCAGTTCTTTGTTATACGGCAGAAAGAAGATATCTCGATAACAAAATCATGACCAGATTTTTATTGGAATGAGTATTTTAGTACTGCACACGTTTAGTAGTGCACACGTACACTTAAAGGTATGTACATTGTACACGCTCAATGACGCGGGCTTGTTTGCTTTTCAGGAATGACAACTCATTCAAGGTTTTGAAGTATAATATAAGTCAGTCGGATATTTAGTTAACAAAAATAGCAACAGAGCGTTATCCTGCAAAAGGTTATTCATGTTCTTCGAGAATATTTTATGACCTACCAGAAGTGATTTGCAGATTACAAGCATTAAAAGAAATACGTACTGTAGATAGATGGCACGGCAAAGTACAATCAGTGTCTGCACTTGTAGAAGAATCCTTTATGACTACTTCTAAGCGATAAAACCTGCACCTATGCAATTTTATACATCAAAAAAGGTCGCAGAACAAAATGTCACCAACTATACTTGATTTTGAGTTGCAGACGACAATTTTAATGCGTACAACTCGCTAGCATGAAAATAATAGGGCAAACTATTGAAGAAAACAAATCTTCGTAGGGAATTTATGTTATCCGGAAGTCTAAAAGAAAATCTTAAAATTTGAAATTTAAAGACAATATTTTAAATCGTTTCATCGGTTTCGTTTCTTATAGTCTACTGAATGAAGAGCTTATCAATCAGCTTTTAATTGACAATTTATGGAGTTAAGGAGGCAAATATTACGTCATGGCAAATTAAGACGCATGTTTCCATCATTATGACACGCTCTAAGAATCTCTATGTGACCAAAGCGCTCGACATTTTGTATTCAAAGATTCATAAACGTGGCAAAGAACACTCTTTACGTTATTCAGAAAATCCTTGCCGTGTATTATTGGTGATGACCAAAAAAAAGAAAATTTAGAGTTGAGCTTGCTCTCAAGCTACGGGGGAATTCAGAAATTTTGAAAACTTTTGATTGAAATGATTCAGCTCCAGCAGGTGTCCCTGAGTGTATTTTATGCTAATAGGGGTAAGCGATTTTAAGCATTCGTGGAATTTGATCTCTTGCTCAGATCTATATACTTCTAAAGAAACTCGACTGAGAAAGTCCAATGCGATGTTTTTAAAGAAAAAATGAAAGACGGCGTCAAACGTCACATAAACCATCGCTTAGTATCTCCAGCTCAAAAACTTAAGGAAAGAATTGGCGTAAAAATAAAGTGATTGACCTTATTGTTTAAAGGCGTTGGCAGGTTAAACGTATTGACTCATTCATTTCAATAGCTGTGAATTGTAAAATGAATTCAATAGTTCATAATTGGTATCATTTACACTATCACAGTAGCCTAGAAGGTTTACCAATCACACAAACAATAAAAAAAGAAGAAGAAGAAGAAGAAGGAGAAGAAGAAGAAGAAGAAGAAGAAGAAGAAGTAGAAGAAGAAGAAGAAGAAGAAGCAGAAGCAGAAGAAGAAGCAGAAGCAGAAGCAGAAGCAGAAGCAGAAGCAGAAGCAGAAGCAGAAGCAGAAGCAGAAGCAGAAGCAGAAGAAGAAGAAGAAGAAGAAGAAGGAGAAGAAGAAGAAGGGACAGAGGCAATATGGGTGTAAAATAAAAATTATAATTAAATTGCCATATTATAGTAAATTTGTTTCAACAACGTAGAGTGGAAGCTGCTCTTAAAGAAGATTCCCGTAAGTGGACAGCTAAACCGCGTTTTTCTCAACTCCCATTCAAATTCTGTATTTCAGATCAATTTGAGTTTTTACCCCAGAGTTGGAAAAGAGTGTATAAACGACGATGAAATTTGGTCTACAATGCGTTCCCTAATCATTCGACTCTAGCAGAACTCCCCAGTGCATTTGACAAATTGAACGAGTTGGAATAACCGCGATGAAGTTTGAAAGAACGGGTACAATTATCAGGGACGGATCCAGAGGGCGGGGGAAGGGTGGGTTGGGTGGCTAGTCACCCCACTTAGGACAACCCACCTAAACAAAATTAATACACAGAAAAACAAACGGAAAACGTGCAATCGCTATTCATGCAAAGTGAATGCAGAACCATCGACAGAAGTGTAGTTTTTGAGAAATTCGTGGCGCTGCGTCCTAGTATAGACTAATGAGGGTGCCTACACTTTTGGCTGACAAGGCTAGTAAGGTTTTTCTATTACCTTCTAATTTTTTTCTTTTTGTGGCTTTTCAAGAGTTTGCAGTGTTACAGTCTCCAATTCGTCCTTTCTAAATCACTGTGTTTTCAACTGGGACACGCTTGGGAAAACTTAAAATAAGTGTAGTTTGCCGGACGATTGGTATCAGCCATCCCCCGCAAAAAAAATCCTGGATCAGCCCTTGATTGTACATTATATTATTTATTTATTTATTTTCGCTGCTGTCGTCGTAGTGGTGGCATAAACGTATCCTTGTGACTTTGAAATGATAAAAAATAGAGGGGCTTGCTTGCGGTTTTGACAGCACAAGTTTTCGCATTAAACGTGTAGGCCCGACTGAAGCGCTCAACCAAAAATGGGTACGTGCACAACAAGTTTTTAATAATGGCATATCCTTTAAATGTTTATCTCACTTCCTAGACTGAGCAAAGAAAGTAAGATAAGTTGTTTGCAAATAAATTTTTCCTTTGCTAGCGCTTCTTAATAAAAGCACTGACAGCGTCTCAGTTCCTTATGATCGATAGTTTTTCTCGGTACTTCTCAATTGGCGCATTTTAGCAAGCTCGCATCTCACTTTTGTCGCCCTCGTACATAATTCCTCCACATCTTTTCTAACTTTCAATAGTCTCTGATTCAGAACATGAACCTCATCTAAAACACCCATCAACTTTTCATCATCATTGTTAGCTCTGCTATTGTCTGGTAGCCACGATTCCGTCAACGTAGTAGCCTGTGCCAGAGTCTCGTTTTTCGCGCTCTTTTTCAATCCATTGTCCGCACTGTCTTGGAGCCTGGAAGAGCCTATTAACACAGTAGTATTTAGCTTGATTTCCGATGATAGCTTGTTTTCTACATCACCTCTTATATCTTTAAGACTATTGATATTAGTTTCAAAACTATCTAAACTTTCGTCGCGTTCTGATAAATCAGATAAAAGCATTTTACCAATCGAAAGTTTACTTGGTTTACAGTGTTTAGAAATCAAAATGCCACTCAAGGCATCCCAGTGGGAGATTCTTCTTTCCAAGGAATCAAGAGATCCGTTGAGCTCTCCTCTTTCCCTCAGCTCTTCCCACAACTCATTCAATGTAAATTGACCTAGACGGAAGCGAAGACTACTTTTATCTCCAAGGTTTGCAAACCCACTGCACCTCGAGCTTTCGAATGTTTTAACCAGGTCCTGTACAGACCTAGATCGTTGTCTCTTTGTTTCAACTTCGGAAAATATAAGACGAGCCTTAATTTCCTGAATCAGGAGATTATCATCTATCATGGCAAGCAATTCCAAGTGTGAAACTTGCTGGAGTTTTGAATCCAGACTTAAACGTCGCGGTAGGCTTCCAAAACTGTAAATGCCAGCGATCTTGAATATTCCTTTCTTATCTGATGATTCAAGTGTTAATGAAGCCACACGATGTCTTTGTTTCACAGCGTGCACAGACATCGTTTTTGGGCCAGTCTGTTCTGAATCCTTCAAGAATGGGTTTCATCGACTCCGACTTCTCTTTCGGCATAAACACCAAATTTCCCCGACTAAATTGTAATTATCGCAAATTGTTCAATTCACTTAATGGATTAATTACATGCTCCTTCAATTAGTGAACAGATGAATTGCCCTGAAAGTCCATGAAATTAAATTTAAAAGAAATGAAGTAGCACAATAGGATCAAGGAAAGAAAAACGGCTTTACCGGTGGGGTAGGGGGAGGGGTAGGACTGAAAATTTACTTCGACGAACGTACAACCCCACCCCACCACCACACAGTACTGGATCGGACCTCTTTGTGTTGTCAACAAAAAATTAGAGAAAGAAAATAATAGGGCAGACTTGCTGACTGCTTTCGTCTTTGTTTTTTCATTACAGATAATCTTGATATTATCGTATTTAATTTATGTGCTATTTTCTGTAATGATGCAATATTTCATGGTCTCAATTAAGCTTATTCACGACCGAAAACAGATAGTTCGATGAATCTTAATTACGTGTAACCGGAATTATTTTTTTGAGGAGGAAAAATAAAAAACCGATCAAAGGATAGAGAAAAGTGATTCTAAAAGAAGAAAAAACATAACACTAATCTCCCTATTTAATTCTTTCAAACTGGATCAGCTGCGCGTATTGCAGTTTTGCAGAATTGAAAAATGACACATGTCTAACCGGGGGGGGTGGTACTCGACCAATATTTGGGTATGGGTGAGCCGCTGAGGGTTTGAAACCCTGACCCTGTTAATAGGACAAAAAATTCCTAAAATACATACCCTGTTTAGGAAGACATCCTCAATTTTAGTACCCTGTTTAGGACATCTCCCTCAATTTTATTACTAGAACAGACTCGCACAAATCATGCACACTGTTTAGTACAGACTTGCGCGAAAATACATACCCTGTTTAGGACAGACTCGTGCGAAATGATACGCCCTGTTTAGGATAGAGATGACGAAAACCATACCCTGTCCAGCGGCACATCCTCGTATTGGCCATATAAGGGGGTACCCCCCCCCCCCCCCCCCCCCCCCTTTCTATTTCCCCCCCCCCCCCCTCTTTTTCCACAAAATATTAAAAAAACTGTTTTTGTGGTGTGGGGTGTAGTTTTTTTAAAGAGGGGGGGGGTTTTTTTTTTTGGAGAAAGAAGAAATACTTCTATCCCCCGCTCGCCCGCATACTATTTTCATCTAATAATATATCCCCCCCCCCCCCCCCCACGATGTCTAATTGACCTCCTCCTACATATATTTGGACTAAAAAGTTGCAAAGCCGATTTTTAGGGTTAGCGTAGTAAGTTTATCAATGTGCAGAGGGACTTTTTTTGTAAGGATAGAAGAGACATTTCCTATCTCCAGGCGGCCATGTAATATTTACCTGAATATGAATTAAGACGGGAACTCCGTGGCCAGGCCTTGTGCACACTCGGATCGCATTGCAGTTTGGTAGTGATATTTCCAATATGGCGGCGAACGTGTGGTGAGTTGGTCAGCGTTGGTGAGTATCTGTATGAACTTCCTACTAACCACAGGCTGTTTCATTTTCATTTTTTTAATGAAATTTGTCTTAAATTTCCCCAGAAAGTAAAAATATGGCTTTTGGTTGGAACTGATCAATTTATGTTTTTTAATAGCCTTTCAAATACACGCTTATCCACTGTTAAATTTGGCACTGTTTCTTTTGAACTTAGAATTTGCTTTCCCTGTTAGTTGGAACGCGTAAAAAGGCTTATTAATAAATAGCTTCTTTGATCTTACGTCTGGCCCTGGATATAAACGCTCCCCCAAAGCTCACCAGCGCTTCATCAGTTGTAACCGTTTATGTATTTTAATCGGTCAGTGTAAGACGCAGATTGCGGACTGCGGACCAGGGGACTGCGAACCAGGGGTAAAATGCAGACTGAGTGTAAAAATGCAGACTGCAGACTGAGAGTAAAACTCAGGCATGATGCAAAATGTAGATCGAGCATAAACTGTAGTCGCGGAAGGTACGGATTTATGTCAAAATATTCGGCAAGAAAATGTAAACGATCACTTAATTTACTTAACATTTGCTTTCACAAATCCATTCCTTTCTTCTCTGTAGCCTGTTCCTCCAGGCTTTCAGATAGTGAATGGCCTGGAACAGGCTATCTTCTCTGGAACGTCTTCGAAAAATAATCGCAATCTTGAACTCTTTACCCGACCGAGTGACCTCAAGCTTCAAATTTCAATACACGTGACCGTGAATTGGTACAACACGACGATATTTACGCTTAAATAAAAGCTGCTGACCAAAATACTCAACAGAAGGAATAATGGCGATAAAAAGGGAGTAAATCATTCCAACGACAAAGAAAGATGTTCTGCAGGAAATTTGGATGACCTTCTATCGAAAGTATTGCAAATCAAGGTACACAAACTTTAGCTGTTCGGATGTTCATTGAAACTGGCGAATGTGCATCTCACTGAACAACAATAAATCAATAGAACACAAGGTTCACTTCAAATATACCTGCAACTCGTCGTCCTCCATGTCTGTATCTTCCACGCCGAATGCCCAAAATCTGCCGAGTTGGTAGAATAAATGGTATACACATAACATGCCTCTCACGTGTGTTCCTCGTCAGGTCTCGTCAATCTCGTTCCCCGTTCCGCTGGCCAAGGGTAACGTGGGTAACGAAGTCTCTGGGTTCCGAGGAAAAAAGAAATCGACTTCCATTTTGTTTTCTGCTTGACATTTCTCTTATTTCCCCCTAATGTGGTTCTTTCTGCATTTTACTCCCAGCCTGCACTTTACCTTTAGTCTGCAGTCTGCATTAATTTTTACCCCCGCAGTCTTCGTTTTACACTGACCGGTATTCCGATATTTGGTGACAGAATGTTTTGATACTTGCCCATTGTATTCTCAGACTGTTTGCCGGAATGGTTTCAATCGAAAATAGGCATGCTCTTTGATTTCCGCGAATGAAGCACAATATTTCACAATTTTGTTAGTTATTGTTCTGTTTTGCTTTTGTGCTCCTAGGCGTTAATTATCATCTACTATCACACTGGTTTTTGCCCTATCTAAAAGGCAACGACACTCGATAATGTATACATTCAAACAAGATTATTGAACTTGCATCGTGGCTGCAAGATCGCGCATGTATTTTTGTCTCTCATCACTGCTTAAACTTAAATGCGCGCTTCATATATTCTTAAAGAGTTGAAAGGCTTGAGGTTTGACAGTTCACAGTTCACATAATATCTACTGACTGTGCATTTGGTTTTTTTTTTTTTTTTTTTTTTTTTTTTTTTTTTTTTTTTTTTTTTTATTAATGGATTACTTGTTAATATTCATTATCATCTACATTTATTTTTTGTTTTGTATTTTTTTTTTTTTTTTTTTTTTTTTTTTTTTTTTTTTTTTTCAGTTGACAAATATTGAACTTTTGGATAAACACAGGTGATACGTGACGTATTTTCACGCTTTTTGATTCTAATCTGCTTTGTCCACATTACACTGCGGGCTCTTTTCACTCATCCAAAGAAGCATTTATACTGCATACCAGAGAATTATACATATTTCTTATACCTGTTCTCTACTAGAAATTCCGTTAAACTATCTGATAATTCAGGGCAAACTTTTAGTTCTCTTTCCCAGTCAAAACCTGCAATTTAACTCTTGATTTTTCGAACCGCCTGCTGATGATAGTTTGAATCACTATGAATTTTCCTCTTCCTTGATTCGAAAAATTACTGAAATACTCTGTAACTGCAATCACGGTGATCTTATTTATAACCAAACAGCAGCGATGAGTTTTTTAAAGTTTCAATGTTTTTAAAGATGTTTGTTCACGAGGTTGAATTCAGTAAAGAAACAAGGTATCTCAGCTGACTTAAACACGAGTCACCTGAACAACCAACTTTGAATACAAGCTTGTAAAAATGTCTCATAATTATATCGCCTGAATACATACATTAATGGAGTCATAGATTTTATGTGTCATTATTTTTTTTGAGGTGCCACAAAACTAATATATTCGACGACTAAGCCTCATTCTATTTCATTGACGTGACACGCCGCTCACATAGTTACTGTCCCCCGCACGCCCCAATCGGACAAAACAAGACCAGCAAAATGAAAAACGTTTTTTTCCTGCTTGTTGCAGAATTTCTTCTTCAAGGTACGTTTCAAAAGTAGAAGACCTAATGCATCAGCTAAAAAAAAAACTTGAAATTATAGTGCATGTATTTCAAATCCAGGATATATAACAACAAATACCCAGGCCATTAAAAGAGGCGTCTGCGATAGCAGGGAACAGCCGAAGGTGCATCAGCCTAAAAACACGTTGAAATGACAGTATATTTCAAACTAGAATAGTAGAATGTACGACCCTAACTTAAACTCACCGCCCTACAGAACAAGTATTAGGCGTACTATACCAATGCGCTTTTGAACTTTGAGCTTGATAATTAGACAATCGCACACTGCTGTCCCTCATTTTTTAGTTTTAAACAACTATATTTAGAACGATTTAATTCGTGATCTTTTTGTGAACTAAAAAGATCCTTTCTTCCTCTTCAACATAATTTTTATTTATCACTGTATACGGCATTTAAAAAGCATTCAATTCTAAAATGGAGTTCGAAGCTGGACCGTAGAGCACTTTATAAATTATCGTTCGTAAGTGATTTTAAGCAGAGGTTTTATTACTCTCAGCTTGAAACTTTCGTAGCTTGAATCTAGCCTTCCAACATAGTACCAATAAATGTCATCAGTCTAAAGCCATTTAGAGAATTAAACGAAGTGAGACCATTCGATGAAACGTCCTCTGAAGAAAAGACAAAATTCCCATTAACACTGTTTGTTGACGTGGAAACTAAAAGACTAAGAAATGGTTAAGCCCATGCAACAAAAACCGCCCCCCATGAATAACATCTTAAGTTTATTTTTTTATATAGCTATAATAACTAGTAATATCCAGAGGTTACGAAGTGCGGGCGACAACGATCGAAGGTCAAAATACTTTTGCTCCAACGCAGTGCTTTACCGCTAGGCGGTTTCACGTAACAGATAGTCAAAACGCGCGTGATCAGATTACGAGGGCTACAAGGTCGAAACACGCGTGATCAAATTGTGTTCTGTGCATTCCCTTCATTCAAATGATGGCTTAACGATGGCAACATATATGCGACGCATGCGTAATAACAAGCTGCAGATTAGGATTGCGGGCGACAAGAGGAGCCCGCAATTAATCTGCTGGTAAAGCAAGCACGTGCACCACCACCTCCTTTTGTCCTTCTTTTCGTTTTTTTTCTTTTTTTCTTTTTTTCTTGTTTTTCCTTCCCTTCTCTTCTTCCTAACTAAACATATTTGACTACTACTCCTCATTCCATTTCATTGACGTGGCATCGCTCGCACAGTAGTTGAAATGCCCTGTACGAACCTGTACGAAACCGAACAAAACAAAACAAAACCAAAATGAAAAAAAGTTTTCTTCCTGCTTGTTGCAGCATTTCTTCTGCAATGTACGTTTCAAAAGCTCTGAACATGTATTAGCATAAAAACGAGTTGAAATGACAGTGTGTTTCGAATCTAGGCGGTATAATCTTACTTTGATCTCACGGGTCCACGAAGAACAAGTGTGCTCTGTTATTTAGATAGACTGGACTAGCTCAGGGTTTTAAAATCCCTTTTCATCAAGTATCTGGATCCGGATTCATCGTTGCTTATTCAGAGGCCTTTTGGCTGTAACTGGGCCCAGGAACCTATGATCATCTTCATTTAAAGATTAAAATTAGCATGGTACTGAGTGCGTCATCGATGTTTTCATTCAGTGGCAATTTTTAAACTCAGTAACTAAAAGAACTAGTACAGGCAACATTTCTATGGCGTCCGTGGTGTAAAGATAAACTGAATGAGAACTATGATCTTTTTTACTCTTCCAGAAATGTCCTGTGAGCCTGACTACGTCGCTAACTTGAAGAAATACTTTAATGACCTACACATCACTGGTACTTATTACAAAAAAATAACCTCCAAAGAACGTAAGTGATGCGTAAGTATAGTAACATGCAAGAGTGGATTTCGTTTTTCCTCTCTGTTATCTTTACCAATAGTCATGAATAGTGTATCACCTATGATATTTTGCCGGTACAGTAAGGCCCTAACCTGTTGGGGTGAATTAAGGAATGGGTGTCGGGAAATTGTAGGGGGGTGGTCTAGTTCAAAGAGGAAAACTAATCCGTTTGCACATTCAAAGGTGGATTCAATCCGTGCTAAAGCATTTGTCTAGCTGTGCTCATTCATGAAGAGTACTTTGTAGGTCTACTTTAGGCAATTAATTCTAAAAAAAAATCTTTATTTTACTTTTTACAATATATATTGGTGATTCTTCATAAAATTCGTTTTGTTCCAGAGCTTGAATCTGAAGCAAAGGATGCTTTTCGTGAGTTCCTCGGGACTGTATATCCAGATTGGTCAGATCGTTTTGAAAGCTTGTTCAACGAATGGAAAATGACCTACACAAGCGAGGGGCCGTTTGAAACCGAACACGATCGTGCCAACATAAACGACAAAATGACACATCCTGACGATTTCCAGGTATGAAGAATCGTGCTTCCTCAAATACGTGCTCACTTTTTAGAATTTCGACGAAATATAGAGTGCGCTCAGTCCGAAAGAGTGCACAATTAGGCGTGACTCTTAAGTATACCCCGCAAGCTGAGGCTTATTTTTTCGAAATAGGTACCAGCGTGCGAATAGTAATTAGCCTGTGCCAAAAATCATCCATCCCAGTCCAGAAACGAGTGAATTAAAATAACTGATGGTTTTTAACCGGCTTTAGACTGCAGGCTTAGTATTGCGGCTTAATCTGCATGCTGCTTAACTAACGAGCGTTTGTGAGAGTTAATTAGCTGTTACGCTCAGATGAGGCTGTTGCAGATTGAAGAAGGGTGTTTTACTGAACAAAGGCACCCTGGAGATCTGAATAATTCTCCATATCACACGAGAGGCGAATCCAATTATTGTTGTTTGTTCATTTAAAACATTTTCAACTTCAAAATATGCCTGCCTCGATCGACGTTATTTTAGTTCCGGTCGATTCACAACCCGGAAAATTTTGGACGTAAGGGGACGTTGAGTCCTGCAGATGTTTTTCAGATGGCCGTAATCACTATGCAGTTGAGTGATATGCAAGCTGTTGTTGCTATATTTTTAGCCAGTACTTTGGCTATTTTTACTTTGCTAAAAGTGTGGAATTTTCAGCCATTTTCTCTAGCTCTATGAAAAAAGCTAAGCTACCGCGCCTTCTGCTATCTCTTTTTCTGAATAATTAATCGTAATATCTAAAAGGCATACATCTTCCAAATTTGGTCAAAGGTAGCTGTTTATCTTGAACTATCGTCGTTGTGATTTTTTTTGTAATTATTTTTTTTTAAATCAGTTGTTACTTAGTTCGATCATTAGCACATACTAAAGAGCGTCACAAACGACTCGGAAGTAGCTAGATTTATAATATATTTAATGATAAATTAATAATATTTAGATTAGTTTTGAACTGAAGTTTAAATTTGTTAATTCACTAAAAAAAAGTTACTTACAGTAGGAACAGTCGAACCGTGGCACTTGGAAGAAAATTATCCAATCTCAACGTTTTTTGAAAACAAAAGAATCCCTAGATTATTTTTACCTATGCAACCCTTGAAAACTTTAATACTGTTTGAAGTTCCCAGACCTCTCAGGAAACAACCCACAAATTTCTTAAATGTTATTGATGCGGTCCGTTTGTTTAAAACTTGACAATCTTTCGTTTTCGAAAAAAAACTTTGCTATTGGATAATCTTTTCCAAGTGCCCCTGTTCGAGTAGTCGCACTGTAAGTTTCCATCAATAGTGTTATTTATTGCTACCTTTGTTTTTGTAACAAAAGACGTCGTTGTACATTGAGGATATGCTGACAAATCGTGATGATGCCCAGGAGGCGAGTGATGCATACATCGAGGCGTTTGTGTCAAAGGACAGCCAAAGAGTGAGTAATGCTTTTTATTTGTTGGAGGTAACTGTCTACAGATCAGAATGGAAGGCTATTCCTTGACGCCTTTGTTCTCTGGGGAAGAAGAGAGGGTACTCGGGTAAAGAAAAGTGATCAGAGGTTTACTGACGAGTAGAAAATAAAGGAGGCGGAAAGAACTAAAAGGGGCAAAATCGGCAGAGGAGAAAGAGGAAAAGGAAATTAAAATTCTTTCGCACAGGTGAAAACGCCCTTGTTTCCTTTCTTCTTCGATTCTCTTCTCTCGTCTGAAACCGTTACGCCGAAAATGAATTAAACGTTATCCGTAGTTTCAATATTAGATTGAAGATTAAACTGAGTGTTTCTTCAAGGGCGCGACCTAGCGCGTAAGAGCATAAATAGCCGACCCCTAAAGAACCAGTAAATAAGGACCAAAAAAAAAAATAGCTGCCTTAACTATTGACAACAATATTATTTAAATCTTAAGTTTTCTTTCGGCGGAAAGAACTTTGTTATGTGGTTTCAGGTGGCGCTATTTTACCTTGGAGATGATGATATCATGCACGGAGTAATGGCAGCTGGCGTGAGAACCAATATGGATGCTGTCTTTGTTGTTTTCTTCTCAGATTAGTTTCTGATAATTGTATCAGGGAAAGAAAGATTGTTAAAACTTCGATTCTTGACATTAAATTGCGGAGTGAATTTTTTGTCTAACTCATCCTCCTGTTTTGTCTTGAAAGAAAATAATAAACACGCAAAGTATAAAACTCTTGGCAGCTACGATAATTCAATGCGTTTAATTGAACAGAATGGCTCAATTTTTAAGAAGGTTCTAAGTATTCCAGAACCTATTTAATAGTTTTATTATCAAAAGGTTCTTTGCCTGGAAGCTGGCTTCAGGTGTCATCATTTTGCATCGCTGACGATTAAGCAAGTAAAGTTCTGAACAGGCTGCAATTTCCCTAAATTCTTATCTGATATATTTGTCCAAACATTGACGAGCTGCGGTACTTTTTCTTGAAAATTAAGGCATGTACATGTATCACGGTTAACAAGAACCTTTCATTGGACGAAAAAATGGATTTCCACAAGTCTGCTCCCTGCAAATATGTCGTAAAATTGCAGAAAACAGAGGGACACATCTGGGGCAAAGATAGTAAATACCACATTTACCATAGCTAGTTATTTACACCCCCTTTCTTTTGGTATGCAAATGTGGCATTTACCATCTTTGCCCCATAATTATTTACTCTTCAGTTTTCACATTTTTACGACATATTTGCAAGCAGCAAATTTTTACAAATCCTTTTTTTTTTTTTTCGTCTAGTGTTAATCTTTTAGCGTTGACCTGTTTGAGTAGGCTGAGGTGGTGGGCGGGTTTAATCGGGGAACAGCACTAATCTCTAGTGCGTGTGGTCTTGGGTCTTACCGAGTCTTAAGTCTCGCGAAAAAAGGAAATATATCAGAATGTAAATCAGTGTAGTCTCAGTGATGCGATGTGATGTAAGACTAACGGGAATTCAACGGCTTTAAACAAAATGCCTGTTTATTTATCATGTGTTATTACTTGCTGTATGTTTTGGAATGGTAGCTGGCAACTTTGTACGACTGCGTTATTGCTAATGCGTTATGGCTATTGATCATTTTGAGATTGAGTGTGAGACCGATGTTGCGGGTGAATCCGATGTTGCGTCCAATTGCATGCACTATCGGACTGTTTTTCTCTGCTGCTAACCGGCCGTAGCTAATTGGTAAAAAGAGACCATCGACTTTGTTTCAAATTAGCCTATAGTCCTCTGAAAGAAAGACGTTATTCTCATTGACACACCGCCATATTGAACTGGTACCTTAGCAAAGAATGGGCCTCATTGACTGATCATTTTGCAATAATTGACAAATTCGATGTAAGTGTAAGCTGTCTTAATTTTTTTCGCGCTTGCACTTAGCTCCATGTGTCAATTATATTGTTTCATCCCATAAGGAAGGAATAAGTTTTCTGAGCGACCAGTTTAAGTTCACCTTGAGAACCAAGAAAAAGTGTTTTCAAAGTAGGCTGATTAAATATTGGAATGAAGCGTTCGCATAAGTTATTATATTAGAAAACGTATGTAACCTCTTTGGCCTTTGTCTTTATGTGAACCATCCTAAATCCAAATTTTGTATCAGAAGTATACGGTCTGCAGAGCCGTGAAGTAATACTGACGGACCCGTATAAACATACAGTGGAACCTCGATAAAACGAGCCTCTCTACAACGAACGGTTTTTTTTTTACCCCAGTGACAATACAACATATGGAAAACAACTCGATATAAAGAAACCTCGTTATAGCTAACAAATTTTCAGATCCCTTTGCTTCGTTTTATCGAGGTTCCCCTGAACTTCCGGCCACGACCAGCTCTGGGGCCTGGTAACTAGAAAGATGGTTTAATTAAGGCTGGGTTAAGTTAAGGTTTTCAGTCTTTGTCTAGAAAAATAACCGAAGCATACAATATGAAGTTGAACCTTTACTGTGTGGTTCAGTTATGATATCATGACACAAAATTAGGTTAATGAGTACGTTTCAACTCTGGATTTGAAATGCTAGGAGGCCTTTCATTAACAGTCGCGCCCTTACCTCCTCAGTATAGTTATATAGTTACGTTTTGAGCTTCAAGAAAGTTTTACCACTGGTGTTAAACGACCATTGAAAAGTCTGGCGAAGACAAGTGAGACAATCAATCTGAAAAACAGTAAGTCGTCTGACTAGGCCCGGTGCATGTAAAAAGATAGTTTCGTCGTATAGTTCAAGAACGCTTAGTTTTCGTTGTCGTTATCTTCTCTCATTGTTCTTTCTTTTTTCTCGCTCTCCTCGACATTTCAATGTTTCCTTACCTGTATTATTTCACTTTATCGTTTTACTGGTAATGCACGTTTTTCCCAGAGCTGGATCTGAGACGAAAAACGTTTAGCGTGAGTTAGTTATAACTGCACATCCTGGGTCATGTATAGTGATAGTTTTTTCAAGGAATGGAAAATGACGTATAAGTGACATTTGAAACAGAAGCAGATCTTTAATAACGTCATAAATGAAGAAATGCTGGGACCTGGTGACATGGTCATATATCTTACTTCTTCAAACTTACAGGAATCAAGTAGAATTTTAGTTGAATCAAGCGGCACTTGACGTCATTGGCTATGAAGACTCGAGATGTCATTGGTGTTTCTCGATCTGTCCCTAGTCACAGTTTAACAGTCGTTTATTGTTAGTCAGATTGTCGGTTGCCCATTTAGTTTTGTTTCATTTCGTCAATAAGTTGTTTGTACAGTGCCGGTAAGAGTTGACTACGATCCAGTGGTGTTTTCTCCAAGTTAAAACCATCTTAAATGAGTCGTTGATAGTAGTCTGTAGAATACGTAACACTTGTCTCAGAGTCCCATTCGATTTGATGTTCGTCTGTAAATGGGCAAGGGTCAGGTCAGGGAGTTTAAGACCATCAAATGACGTGGACTCTGAAGATGACCACAGGTTCTCGAAACGTCAGTCACTGTAAACAACACACAATCAGGACTACGTTCACCCGGACGATCATGCCGCTCAAAATATTTATGTTAACTTAATTTGCTAAACACTTGACAAAAGGGTGTCGAAGGAACTGAGTGTTTCAGTTTTTATTCCTTATACTTTCGTTAGACCAGTGTCCAAGGAAAGGAACCTAACGGATCTTCCTTTGGCACTTGTTTGAATAAGCAGAAAATTAAAATTGGAATTATTTCCACTGATCTCCTTAAGCATACCAGAGTGGCTATTTTGTCGCAATAATCATTACAGAAAGAGCTTAAGTTCCCATAGGCCTTATTTTGTTCAAAGACAAACTGCCTTATAATATCAGTTTCATGCCACTAGCTTACATGAGTTGAAAAATATAGTATTAAGTTATTAAAACAATTGTTTTTAAATAACAAAAAAAACTTATTGCCCGGAATAAGAATATAGTTATGCTGTTTACTTTATAGTCCTTAGCACATACTTGGTGCCGAGATCTTCCTTTACTTAGTAATGTAACGGCAAATAACAATAATTATAATTGCTTAAAGTGAAGCTTTTTAAAACTTGGTAGATTTTTGAAAAAAGTAATTTGTTCGTGTTATTAAAATACGGACTTATCTAATGTACACACCTTAAGTTAAGAAGAATCTTGAAAAGACTCAGATTAACTTTGGTGTTATATGATGAATGAAAGATAAGACAAAGAGAAGATTATTTTTTTCCCCAATAATATTAAAATTAGCCCTCTAAACCTCTTTAATTGCAGGTACTTTAAAAACTGTGAACAACGTACGTGGTTAACGTAATGACCCATAGAAATAAAAGAAAAAAAGACAAACGGTTTAAAGGTTTTCTTTCATTCCTTTTGAAACACAGGAGTTTACAAAACGAAGCGAGAAGACAGCAGTTTTTATGACCAAGACAATACTTGCCGCTACGTCAATCAGCGCAATTTTTCTTATTCAAATACTCATTGTTTCCTAGAACTGACATGGGCTACGCCTGTTCAAACAGAGACTGGTATTAAAAGTGTATTCCCCCATATGCCCCACACTTGCTAATTGATCTGCAGTGGTTTTATGGACAATAAGAACTCTGTTTCATAAATACGGGAAGTGTGGGAAAATCGTCGAAGAACTTCTACATTTCAGAAGGTAACTATTCTTAGTTAGGCCACGGCAAAATATTGTTTCAATTACCAGATCATACATTGCGACTTTTGTTAAGGAATCCTACATGTAACTGAAGTATTGTACTTTTACAATACAATGCTTCCGACAGAAACGCAGCAGTTTGATATAATCATTTAAATGTGATCATTTTTTTGGGACTGGGATTGTGTCATAGCTAAATTCAACTTTTACTAAACATTTTTTTGTACAGACTCTCCTACATCACCTCATTTTTCAATTTTCAATCTTCAAATGGTACGAGACCTCGATTGTTTCTTTGTTTTCTTAAAGAAATCATAGTACGCAAGGCTTATGTAAATCTTGCTGGCACTTTTTGTTCGGCATACGAGCACTACGGCCTCTTAAGCTAATCTGCTAAGAAATCCGGCCATAGTTTGCATAGAATTCCATTGAAACCTTTAGCAACTTACAATTTTTTCGTCCCCTCTTTTCTTTTGAACACCAACGAGGTCTTCAAAAGTGAGCCAGTTCTTAGATTACTAATCTGCTCTAGCTTAAACTGCATATTGTTTGAAATCTGAATTGGTTGTCTTTCTGACTCTAGACTTACACGTTACAAGTCATGAAGGGGGTTTTTACGCTGCTGAGCTTTCTCACCCTTGGTCTGGGTGAGGAAATAAAAGTGAAATTGGATCATCAGTGGCCGAACGGATTCAAAATGAAGTTTAAGCACGTGATGACACAAGAAGTAAGGGGAGGCTGGAAAATGACGATGAAGTTTTCGAAACCAGTCGGTCGGCTGCAATTCCCGAATGCAGAAGAACTTTCTTCAGATAAAGAGAACAAGGTCTTTTGCCTGAGAAATCGTCAGTACAATGCGAACCTCAATGCTGGGCAAATGCTGGAAATGGATTTTATCGGTGAAAAAGCGAAAGCCAACGAAGCGGCTCCATCAGCTACCCTGGAATTACACCCGGGAAGAAATGCCAAATGTGACATGACTCCACCCCCGACGATCCACCCTCCCGAAGCCACCCCTCCCGTGCAAGAAATATCCAAGGCAGTTCTCTTTGAAGAGTGGCCAAATGGCTTTAAAATGAATATCAGCATTACTATGAAGCAAAAGGTCGAAGGTGGATGGACAATGACCCTAACTTTTCCTACACCTGTCAGGGTGTTGCAGACGCCAAAAGCAAAAAGAAAGTGGCGATCTAAGGACCGCATGATCTATATATTGGAAAATCGACAACACAACGCGTTCATTGACAGATGTTCAAAGCTCGAGATGATTATCATAGGGAGAAAGGGAATGAATTCTGAAGCACCAAAAGAAGCTAACATAGAATTTCGTCGTAAAGAAAACTGGGAAGCTGGAGGAGGCGAAGGGGAGTGTCTTTCTACTACTACTCAACCACCCACAACCACAGAGCCACCAACTACAACAGAGTCACCCACTACCACAGAGCCACCAACAACCACGGAGCCACCAACCACAACAGAGCCACCCACTACCACAGAATCACCGTCCACCACTGAGCCACCCACAAACACAGAACCACCAACCACTACAGAGCCACCGACTACCACAGAGCCACCAACAACCACGGAAACGCCGACTACAACAGAACCACCAACAACCACAGAGCCACCAACAACAACAGAGCTACCAACAACCACAGAGCCACCCACTACCACAGAGCCACTAACAACCACAGACGCACCAACCACTACAGAACCACCGACAACCACGGAGTCACCAACCACAAGTTCTCCTCCTTCATACAACTATGACGAAGTCCTTCACAACTCCATTTTGTTTTATGAAGCTCAGAGATCAGGTAAGCTTCCCCCTTCCAACCGTGTTCCTTGGCGGAAAGACTCCGCGCTGAATGATCGCGGAGATAGCGGTGAGGATCTGACCGGTGGGTGGTACGATGCAGGAGATCATGTAAAGTTCGGTTTTCCAATGGCTTTTAGTGTTACCATGTTATCTTGGGGTTTAGTGGAGTATAAGGATGCTTACGAAGATGCTGGTGAGCTTAATTACATGTTAGACTGCATTAAATGGCCCTTGGACTACTTCATCAAAGCACACACCAAAAAGAATGAGTTCTATGGTCAGGTGGGTCATAATTGATAGTCATATCTATATTTGCTGATAGTTTGTTACTTTGCAGCATAAATGAGTTTATTTAATATATATAACAATTATTCACCGAAGTGGAGGTGGCTAGTATTGGATATTTACCGAGGCCGCGAAGCGGCAAGGTAAAAATCCACTACTAGCCACCTCCACTTCGGTGAATAATTGTTTTAGTATATACTAAAACAGTGAGATAATTGAGCACAAAATGATGATTAACTCATTTACTGTTGCCAACGATTACAATTTTGGCGCGCGATGACCGAACGGCCGCGGTCGTCGCTTTTTCTTAGCGACAAATAAAACTTTGAAGGCGTTTGTTTAGCTCTTGCGGGGAAGTTTCTTCAAAAGGAGTTGTGAATTCTGTTTGTATTTAAAATAATTCTGTAAAAAAGATTATTAAATTTAGTTTTGAGCTTATTTATGAACAAGTCAACTAAATAAAGTAACGCAAGACTTAAGCTTGATTTGCATTTGTAAACGAAAAACTTTTTCACCGGTTTTATCGATAACTATTCAAGTCAAAAAGACAAAGCTTTACCTGTTAAAACTTCCAAACCGAACTTCGTCACCTTCTTCATGTATTTCGGAAGTAGCTTGCTTGATTAGTTGTGAAATTTCTAAGTTTGTTACGGCAGCAAACTGGGAAAGCATTTTACTCGCAACCTACGCGAGTTTGGCGTCGCTCGCTCGGGGAAACTGGAGGTGAATCAGTGAATAGTGCAGGATATTCACTGACTGAGTAACCAATCAGAGAGCGCGAAAAACACTATCCACTGTTTTAGTATATACTAAACTGACTTATTTGCTTGTTCACATTAAACCTGTGTAAGCAAGCCTTAAGCTGACATTAGATTGTTCGAGTAGATGTGAATTTGGTCAATAGACTTTCCATATTATATAAAGGGGCCAGACGTTTTGATGCCTTAAATGCAAGAATCGCAGAATTTGAAATCTAACGTAGTTAGTCATATTCTTATGATAAGGCGCGATGTACGGTTAAATTTTACTATGGAACGTTGTTGGTGTGAAAAAGAAGGAAGGCGCCACTGACGCCAGGCTAATTTGAAGTATTAATTTAACTGTTTCTGTGATCAGGTTGGTGATGGAAATGCTGACCACGCATACTGGGGCAGACCCGAGGATATGACTATGGCTCGACCCGCCTTCAAAATCACTCCACAGAAGCCAGGCTCGGAGCTGGCTGCGGAAACGGCCGCTGCCATGGCGGCAGCCTCTATTGCCTTTCGATCTACAAATATCGGATATTCCATGAATCTTCTACAACACGCTGCAGATTTGTACGACTTTGCTGATACCAATCGCGGAGTGTACAGTGACTCCATTCCAAATGCTGCCAGTTTCTACCGCTCGTTCAGTGGTTACAAGGACGAACTGGTTTGGGCAGCTGCTTGGTTGCACAGGTGAGCCTTCAGGTCAACGCAAAATACAATATTTCCCTTCAGATTTAAAGATAAAGACTAGCCTTTAAGTGATTAGTCGTCCACTATCGGAGCACTTAAACATCTGGCCCCAGTTGTTCAAACAATGGATAGTCAGGTTATCAACCCGATAAATCACTGTCCAGTGGAAACGTATTAGGGAAACCAATTGCGTTATCCACCAATTTTTAAAAACAACTGGGACTTGATTCTGAGCTTGATGTTTTCTGCATCGTTTCTAGTATTTTTACCGCCCTCCCTCTTATTCGGACTGATATTGGCTATCCCCAGACACAAATGACATTTTGAAAAGTTTCCTTGCCCTGCTCATTTTCAAAAAGTCATATAAAAGATCAAGCTTACAGTGTCTGTCCAAAGCATATGGATATATCATTAAAAATGGTTAAGGCGAAATATTTTTAATTTAAACAGCAGTGGTCACCTGATGTTACTGGTATGTAGCCCGACCCTTTATAATGAAACGATAACATAACGAGGCCCTAAATAAATTGCCTCACAAAAAAAAAACATAAAATGCAACAGTTATCAGATTTAATTAAGTGCCAAGGAATAGGGGTCCTGTTTCAAACACTTTAATTACTTTGACCTGTACCAGATATCTAAGGCCGGAAGCAAAGGTTAAGACCCTTCCATTTATAACAAAAGTGACCCTCTCTACTGTTAGCAACTTATACTTCTTACATTGAAATCTAGAGCTACTAATGATGCAAAGTACCTCACGAAAGCAGAACAGTATTATTCAAGTTTTGGAATGGGTGGAAAACCCTGGACATTTTCTTGGGATGACAAGAAAGCCGGAGTGCAGCTCCTTTTGGCAGAGATCACCCAGAAAGCTTCATACAAACAAGCCGTGGACACCTTCATAACAAGTTGGCTTCCAAATCACGAGGTTCATTACACACCAAAGGGCCTTGCGTGGCGCGATCAATGGGGTCCAAACCGTTACGCGGCCAACACAGCTTTCCTAGCACTGGTTGCCGCTGATAATGGCATTAAAACAGCCGCATTCCGTGAGTTTGCCAGGAAGCAAATTCACTATATGTTGGGTGACAGTGGGCGCAGTTTCATGGTGGGCTTCGGTAACAATCCACCAGAGAGACCACATCACCGCAGCAGTTCATGTCCCCTCTCCCCAGCCCCTTGCACATGGGACAACTTCAATAGCCCAGCTCCCAATCCACAGACTTTGTACGGCGCGCTAGTGGGAGGCCCGGGCAAGAATGACGAGTACGTGGACAACAGAAAGGATTTTATTAAGAACGAGGTGGCTACTGACTACAACGCGGGTTTCCAGTCCGCGGTTGCTGGCCTTAAACACTTGCTGCTAGCAGGAGAATGAAAGGAAAGCTTTCAGTCCGTTCTTGATGGTAGTTCTATGTTGCCATTAATAAACCAGTAAAGAGAATGTATTAACTAAGTGAACATGAAAATAAAGTCTTCTTGAATACTTGAACAAACGTGATTTCATTGTATATTGTTGTTTTCATCTTTGGAAAAGCAAATAGGGTAATTTCAGTGTTACCTTTGAATGGATTGATTCTGTTTTTGTATTAAAGGTCAATTCCCTTATTCTTTCTCATATCAGTAACATCAAGATTTTGAGTCAACGTCGTTTAGGTCGGTTTGCTGAAAATACCGTTTTTCACTATCTGCAAATGACTTTAGTATTGCTATAAAGAGATAATAGTACACTTGACCCATTTATTACTACAAGATTACAACTTAAAATGGTAGTGCGAACATGGCCATTAAGGGAGCCTAAAAGCGAGCAAGACGACAGACGACATCAACGAGGACGTCAAAGAAAGAAGTAAATTCAATAAGCCGAGCAAAAAAATAAGAAGTGAATATTTCCTATTTCACTTTTTATTAAGGAGGCAAACACGGTGGTGATAGTCTCAAAGATGACAAATTGTAGGCTAGTTAAAAAAAAGCCATGGTAACCATAATATCTTCAAATACAGAAAATAAGTGAAGTATTGAAACCAAGCCAGTATGCGTAATTTGGATTAAAATGGAATTAAATTTTGGTAGTCACCCTCGACCAACTAAAGGTTATGAAATTCTCTGCCGCAGATCATAGTGTTCCGAACTTGGGCGTTTGTTCATTTTTATTTTTATTCTATTGTTAGAGAACGCAAATATTTTGAAAGGTGATACAAACATGACCACTTCTCCAAGAAAAAACCTTTTGAGGGGAAAAGATCCACTTGAGCCTAGTATATTCTACTAAGTAGGAAGCAATTATTGAAAGGGAGGCTTTGATCAAGGCTCGCAAGGCATCTAGCCAACAAGGCTTTGGACGAAAAAAACGGATTTCAAATTGCTCCTTGCAAATATGTTGTACAAATGTAAAAACTGGGATGTAAATCTGAGGCAAAGATGGTAAATGCCACATTTGCATACCAAAAAACACTACGGGGTTGTAAATAAGGAGGCAAATGTAGCATTTACCATCTTTGCCCTTGATTCACTCCTCAGTTTTCTCAATTTTGCTACAGATTTGCCGAGAGCAAATTTGTGCAAATCCATTTTTTCACCTAGTAATATTTCTACACCAAATCGGATAGCTCTTCAGCCGGCACGCAAACCATATGGGGTATAGGGTTCTATTCACTCATGAGATCTGACAGTGATTTTGCAGATTTTGGCGCGGTTTCTGTAACGGGGAGAAGCTGCTATGCACCAATCTTGGAAGTGGAGAGTCACATTTCGTATAGGTTTCTGTGCCCCTCTTTGGCGCAGTGTAACTAACAGGTGCGTATACTATAGTGAATTAAGGTTGCAAAGAAAAGAAGAGATAACGTCCCGTAAATATAGACTACAACGCAACTTCACATGTATACATATGGGCTTAAATTTTGAGATAACATGTAATCTTAAGCTTCAAGTCTTGTCTTTTGAGTCTTTACTGTTGCCATCCCAACAGAACAGTTTTGTACTGTTGCTGTAATTGTTGCTATTTACTTCGGAGAAAGAGAACAAAAATATGGTTTATACCTCAGTGTATGGCACGTATAATTGTTTAATGTACCTTTTATCTTTTGTTTATTAACTTTTCTACGCTTCATTATGTTGACGTTTCTGAGTTTGTTTTATTGCAGGTGTTTACATTGAATGTCAGCCAAAAACTGCCCTGACTTGTTGTTTAAAAATATACAGCATTAAGTACGTTTTCAGAGACGTTAAAACATGTATTATTATTCATTCAAAATATTTCCCCGATTCTGATTGGCTAAAAGCACACGCTTAATTTACCATAACCAGCTACTGATGACCAAATTTGGAAGAATTTTGCTATTGATGAACCGATGACGTCAAAAGTGCAGCCTTCTTGCAGGTTAATGCAGTGTTAACCGAGAAGACCTGGGGACGAGGTTGAGTTGTCTTGGTTGTGAAAACAAAAATGGCAGACATTTCACTCGTTTCAAGAGTAAGAACTAGGCGAAATAATAGCTAAAAACATGGCAGGAGCTGCAAGAAGACAACTCGAAGGGCGGCTTCTGCTATTTGGAGAATATTTCCGGAGCTGAACAACCCTAAACGTGCACTTTCGAAGATGACCTTAACATCGATGCAGGTGAGCATGTTTTAGCTATGTTTTTAAACTAGGAATTATTTTGAATGAATAATAAAACAATTAATGAATTCGGCTTTCGTATCATATGAAGAATTATGGAGATCTCGGAGCGTGTTATCCGCCTCGACCACGGCCTCGACGGATAACACCCTCCGAGATCTCCATAATTCTTCATAAGACACTCAGCCTCATTCATTAATGGTTAATTAAACTTTACCTAATTTGTCACGCACCAAATTGCGTAGAAATTGTTGAATCATTCTTTTGACTCCAGAAATAACCGAAAAAGTTTAGTCTCGTAGAGACAAAATATTGTTTTTACTACTGTTATAGCTTTTCTTTTATCACACGGCGAATTTTACCGTCCAGCCAAAACGAAATTTTGCTTCTTTTCTTTGTCTCAAATTGCCGCAAATGTTGGCCAATCCTTTAGGTTTACCTAAAGTTCGAAATACTCGTCGGCATTTACTAGAAAACACAACAGATGCGCAAAATTCTGGGTGTTGTTGTTTGCTAGAAGTGTAGCTATTATAGTTCACCGTGATCATACCATTTGCAACACCAAAAAGAGATATTAAATATCAACTGAACTCAGTGTTAATTGATTACTTTTTTCGGTCAGCCAACCTCGCTAAGTTAACCAATCTAGAAGTTGAAATAAATGTCAAAAATTATCTACAAAACATCCAGAAACTTGAAACAAAAAAAAGTCAAAATAAAGATTTAAAATGTATTTATGCAAAGCAAGCTGACAAGTAAATAAAACTGCGAAAGCCGCGCCGGAAAATAAGATGGTACAGGGCTTCATCCTATTATTTGCAGCCACCGGCTTGTTGTTTCAGTTTAAACTTTGGCAGTTGTTTCAACGACCATTGAAAGAGCGAAAGAGGCCACAATGGCTACAAACCTAAACAACACTGAAAGGTGTTTTCGAGATAACAACAGTTTCTGTTTGTTGACCACTTTCTCATAAAATTTCACCTGTCAGACGACGGGTACATAGTGTGTAAAAGACAAATATTATCCCCTATAAAAGAGTGCGATTCTACTTGGTTTTTAATGTGCCTTTCAAGATGACGCTCTGTCCGTTTTATTCGCTGTATTTCTGTCCCTTACATTCGTCTTTGCTGAAGACGATGACGAAACTATGGCTTTGGTAAGGGCCTTTTAAAAATTCTCTTTTCCCTATAATTCTCTCTTTTGAGCGCAATTAATGGTATAAACATTCTGTATTAATTCTATCAACATTCATTGACAACATTCAATACATTAAAACATGAATACCATTCCATTCCATTTAATGAAATATAAAAACTGACATATCACGTATCAAGTATAAAATTGGCAGCAAATGTTTAAAGAAGACTGTGAGACAATGCAAAATGATTATAAGGAATCAGTCAGTGGGACTTTCTTAAGTTCTATTTCTTTTAAGCTCGATTATCAGTGCACGGCATTTGCGCATTTCGTGCAACATTTCTTATAAAGACCTCGGGGTACACCTATGTATGAATAAATTCATAAGGCAAAACTTTTCTTGTGCTCCATCTTTTAAAACGCTTATATCTCGGCTGTTTTAGAGGCGATTTAGATAAAATTTTACAGAGACATTATGAAATGATGGAAGTTCAGGAGGGTTGTTTTTTATTTGGTAGATGGTGCTTTACGGTGATGCTTTAAGCCACCGTTTTACCAAATTGGGAAATCGTGATTTTGTGTCCAAGTTGGCGGAAATAATAGACCTGTTCAAGGTTTTTTCAACTTTTGACATGGACAAGTTAGGGAAAATCCTTCCACACCACTGGAAAGAGCGCCTTAATATTGGAAAAATTGCCAAATTTGAAAGCGATACGTTTTAAGCGAGCGCAGATATAGCTCCGCAAAGCTGCGAAAATTTACAAGCGTTTGTATGATGGGGGAGGGGACAAGTTTGTGCCCACCACCATACAAACGTCTGTAAAATTTCGCGACTTTAAGGAGCCATATCTTCATTAGTTTTCAAACAAAATCACTTTCAAACTAAGCAATGTTACTAATCGACCTCAATAGGGTTTAACCATTGGGTAATATATTGAAACTGGGGTCTTAACTGACTCGCTCTCGTCTGTCAAAGATTCTTCCTTGATCAATACTTTCGGGCCGATTTAACGATTGCTCGATGCTCAAGACTATCCTGTGACAATTTTCCACAACCCTTTCGGGCTTGCAAATTAAGTTAAGACGCTAGTAAGACCAACTAAGAAAAACCTCAGCAAAACGTCCAAAATCGTTATCAGTAACAGAAATTACCATTGTAAATGTATATAGTTGTGGTTTTAATGGTTTCGAGTCTTCATATCAAAGTTGTAAATGTTTATCAAAAAATGCAAAAGGTAACTGCTGCTGCTAAAAAAAGGTTTACATCCAGGTTTACATCTGGTATTAACATATTCATGCCTTGCCTGAATTTCATCAGATTGCTTCAAGTCGTTTTCTCCTCTCAGCAACGTCTGAATCGACCGGCCGTTAATGCCGTCCAGAGTGTCCAAGACAACAATTCTGAAAATCAAGTTTTTTCAGCCAATGAATACATTAATTATGAGTACTTTTCCTCTGACGAATTAGTCGCCCTTTTTTGCATTAAAAGGGGAACGGTTATGAGGCCCGTCAGACTCGTTTTTCCTTCGATAGGACTACTATCATTTTGATCTTACTGTCTAATTAGGCATTACTTAATTGCCTTAAAGGCTAGTGAAAAAAATGAAACAAATAAATCATTGTGCACCGTGACGGGAGCTCCCAACATAAATTGCATTGCAACGGTTCTTATCTCTGATATTTGTCGCTTTTCACAACTGCCCCCTCCACTACCTATGTTTCCTCTTCCCATTCTTTCCGAAAGTAAAACCACAAACTTATTCGTACGCGTTTTTAATTGCTCAGCTTTGGAAGCAGAACTCACGGCGGATCGTCTGAGAGTAGATGTGCCTTTCCATTCGATGGCCGAGGAAAGGTTCTGGCACATGCATTTTTTCCTTCAAACAGCCTTTGCCATTTTGATGAAGATGAAACTTACACCGATGGTACACCCAGTGGTACAAACCATTTGTGGGTTGCAACTCATGAATTTGGTCACGCTCTTGGAATCCATCACTCAGACGTAAGGCACGCCGTAATGTACCCTTACTACACTGGCTATAAACCTGGTTTCGGACTTCAGAACGATGATATTGGAGCCATTCAATCTTTGTACGGTGGGTGGTAAAATGATTTTCTTTCTGAATTGAATTGTAAAAAGAAGTTGTTCATGCTGAAATAATCTATGAAGAGAATACCCACTTAAAAATAATATTTAATTTAATCGGTGTCACCGACCTTAAATGAATGGATAACAAATAAAAAAATGTGTATTTTTTTTTATTATTATTTCAGGCAAATCAGGATCAGGCGGAAATGGAGGCAAGTTACCAAGCATTAATTAACTCCTCCTTTAATGATTGCAGCGTTAGTCGCAGTGATAAAGCGACGGTTTGGGAATGTGGAGGTCGCATGTTTGATTCCTTGCATGCTGTGACAATATTGAGGTTCCTTAAATTACTAGGGAAAAATTTTCTTCCTTTATCCTACCAACTGTTAGACCTTCTTTTGCCTAGGGCCGAACATGTAGAAATGGTAACCCTATCTCTGGCTACGAACGTACAGGCATAGGCGTCGTTACCCAGCCGGATATTTGCAAAGACTAAAAGCGGAGTTCTCCCAATTAACTATTAAGTGCTAATATACTCACTCAGCTATTAGTTCTTAATGCTAATATATAAGTAACTGTCACCCATAGATGCGGCGAAACATCAAATTGAAAACTACGCCATAACAATATATTGTCTGCAACAAACTCAAGTATTAACAGCAGGGATATTTTTATTATAGAGGAATATGTTTTACCAAGAATGAGACTTTAGGACCAATGTTTGAAAAAAAATCACTTGGAATGTCTTATTTTAATTTTTAATTATTTTTTATAAAACTTTTCTTTACCATTTAAAAATATTGGGAAATGACAACCCTATCTCCAGTTAGGGACCTGGAAGATATCAAATGAGTGGCGTTCATTAAGCTAATATAAGCCAAACCTAAAGGCGGAGCTCTCGTTTATATACTTATTAAGTACTCATCTATACTGAAAGGAATCAGATGGGTTACATTCTACTCTTATAAGCCAGTTTAGCACAAGTCCATGCTCTGGCGACATCGTCTTCAATTAATTATTAATAATCATTTGATCGATACTTCTGTTTTTCAATTCATCGCTTGCTCTTTGTTAATCGGGTCTAAGATTTTAAAACAAATAGAAACAAATGAAGCAACGGTCATTCTTTTAAAAAAATTAGGAGCATAACTCATGCTTACAATTACCGATAAGATCCCATAAAACCGTCAAAACAGCTTTATTGATGAATTTTAAGCCTGGTGAATACATGAGAAAGATTTAATCTTTCTCAAGGGCAATTCCTTATTTAATTTATCATTGTTTTCCTTTCAGCTTGCAATGACAACCATCAAAACTGCCCTTCCTGGGAGGGTTACTGCAGTTCTCACTCATGGGTACAAGCAAACTGCAAGAAAACATGCAATTTGTGCTAATAAGGTGAAAAATACCTTGCTTTCAAAAACAAATTTCTTAAAAAGGCGAAGAATATTTCACGCGGAATTCATTTACCAGTTTAAGTTAACTTCATGGCTGAGTACAGCGTGCAAATAGGCGGTGACTAGAATGCATGGATACCCTAAAATCAAATTGTCATCTTTACTCAAAATACATGATAGGAGTCTTATGACTTAAAGTACTGGTTAATAAGAGAATAAAGAAAACGGAAGAAAACAGTAGGTAGTATATACGTAGGAGTTGACTTACCCGCACCATCTGAAGTTTAATCCTCATCCGTATCCACTACACCATCAAGGGTTAACTACCGATTTCGGTTAGTTTTAACGCAATTTATGTGACATTGATCGGTTCATTATTGAAAGCTACCTGTTAAAGAGTTCTTAACCGTTCGCTATTAAGAGCCAAGTCAAACTAAAGGGAGATCCAACCTTCCGCTTCTTGACACCGTAGCGAAAGTAACCTGATAATCGATTCTGCCACCTCCTGCAATAATCAGCTTGAAGAATCAGCAAAGCTAAATTTTCTTAAAAACAAGCAAGTAGGTTAAAAATAAGCCCAAGTATAAAACACAAGAAAGGGAAGCACCTGTCCGCCATCTTGAATAATTTTCTAATATTGCGCGGAGTGGATTGGGATTGATAGTGTGTCCTCAGCGTTTTCGAAAAGTTCCGTTTTCTTCTGTCCACACGTACATGCGTAAACAACGTTCTCAAAAAGTTTCACTCTGGAGAGCGTTTTCGAAAAGTTCCGTTTTCATTGATCGTTTTCATCGGAGACGTGTAGACGGAGGCCGTATCCGTAAAGAAAAAGGTGCGCTTTCAAATGAAAATGAATATGTGTGGACAGGGCCTTATTTAACCCATTATATAAAATATTCAATGAAGGTCTGAAAAAACGAAAATGTTGCTTTAGGTGACGCAATTACTTATTTATTTATTATTTGTTTGTTTATATTTTTATCAAGACTGAGAGGTGGTGCGTGAAAAGAATGGAGTTAAACCCGGTCAAACGCGAATTTCTTAACAGTCTTGACTGTTCGAGTTCGCATGCTCAACTCCACTTGGAGTTTATACTAGCTAGCGCAAGCAGTCTCTAGCAATGAGAGAATCGGTTTGGGAACAAGTGTAGACCGTCTGGGGAAAAATGCACTGTAGCGGATAATAAATAGCCTGTTCCAGGTTCCGAGATACTGAATTGAGAATGCGCGATCACGAAAATAAAACGGGAGGAAATCCCTTCCTTTTTTCCATTTTCTCGCCTCGCTAACTTTTAGCGTGCCTTCTAATTTCGCGTCTTCCCCACTATCTGAGAGCCTGAAACGGGCTAAAACTGAAAGCCATACAAGTAAAATACCACACATTAGCGGGCTTAAGTAAAAGTGTTTTTGAGCGACGCACGTCAACTTCTTGCATTTTTTGTCACCCTTTTGGCCAAATTTTTGGGGGGAGGAGCGTTAAGTGACTACACGTAAAACAGCTTTGTAGCAGACTACAATTTTTCAAGTAAATCGTCTCTAAGAGTCAATATATTAGCATGGCAAATTTAGTATCGTCAAGGCATTATTCCCCTGACATATTATTTCCCTGTTAATCTCTTTGAAGAGTGTTGTGGTTGGCAGTAAATTAGAGCGTGAGTACATCAGCTTGCCACTCTAGAAAGATTGTTCTCGAACGGAGGTATTTATTACAAGGTAAAGTTTATCATTATTGCGAAATATGTTTCAGTCTATTGTGTTTACAGTGCTAAGTGCATTGTCACTTCTGAGCTTTTCCGCTTGGGAGAAATTGTTTACTAAGGATAAGATGTCTTTACAAATATTGAATTAGAAAAGCGTTCTAGAATAATCGAGTCTTATATTTCTTTATTTTTCAGTGTTACGGTCCCGTTGTGAAATTGTTTTCGAAGTTTCTTCTCTGTTCACTGCTTTGTTCTAGAATGTAGAACAAGACATGACAATAAAGAATATTAGGTACATTATACACTTGTATGATAGGGTAAAATTAGAACACTTTCAGAATCCAACAAAAAGACTTCATTGACCTTTATTCATTAAGCTGTCACTGAGCCGTCTTTTAAAATTCTTTATTCCTTATTAGAAAAGGTATGAATGCTAATTAGTGGAAGAAAAGAGGGCATTGTGGCCTTACTCGAGTTTACACTTTATTTGCTCTAAACCCGCCTAATTGTCTAGTCTTTTCAATGAATAGCTCAATAAAGAGGCTGGCTCTGCAACTAGGCAGATAACGCGGGTCTCGTAAAGATGAGAAACGTTATTGAATCTTTTTTTATTTTTTAACTACGCCATCTTAAGGACTTCTTTGTGAATGTATTGGTAAAATGAGCAGATATTTAACCATACCTGCGGCCTTTCTAACGCCTCGATTGATTTTGCAGAAGGATTCTCTGGCCTGTTCGCCTATCGCTCGACGCGTACCCCTCAAACCAACCACCAGATCTCTTCGCTAAGAGGAACCCATTAAGGTTGAGGATTGTCCAACACATCTCCTCCACGTTTCTGCAGATGGTTCTTTAAAACGCGCAAGGACCATTGTGGTTCAATTGAAGTCCATAACAGGAAGAGGAGATCAATTTTGTTTTAAAGAGTTTTTTTGAAGGGATTAACAAACAAAAACGGATTTTTCTCTCACAAAAGAACATTCAAAGCGACCTTGCCGTGGCCCATTGACCTCACAATGAGATGCAAGGCGGAGTTTTGCTAGCCAGTTACAAAAGTTTACCGTCATTAAGAGCCAAAAGAACGAGATTGCCTGCCCAAAAAGCTTTCCAAACCAGCCCAAGGGCAATAATGACGAAAAACTAACCATTTTGTATCTAACTGGTATTATTATGCACAGCACCGAACAGGAGACCCGTAATTTATGCGCCACGTGTACTCTGCATGTTGGTTCGAGCTTGGGATGCCTGTGGATTCATAATTATAAACGAAATACTCCAATGTTTAAGGCCCTCAGTAATTACGCCCTTCAGCCCTCAAGTCTAGCCAATGAGATTATACTGAGGTATCACCCCTGGAATAATTACCGTATAAAATTTCTGCGGTTTTTACTAAGATACATAGAGCCGTTTCACTGAGGTGTAAAAAAATTGTCTGCATAATAATTATTTCCAGTTAGCCAATTTGAGACCATTTGAAACTTGATCGAAAAACAGCAAGAGGTTCTCGTGAACAAGAGGAAGTTTCTAAGCTAGGCTCTGCCCTCAAAATGATCAACATGAGCTCTTTGTCTCTTGATGTTTCTTCTTTTGAGCCGGTGCTTTTGTTTCTTTGTCTGCTGATTTGCGTGCTCCTCTCTGGAAAAGCAGCTCGGAAGCATTTCTTTCCCAAGCTTCCTCCTGGTCCCTGGGGTTTACCTGTCGTAGGTAAGAGCTTGCTTAATTTTTTTAGTGGAACATTTCTCTCGTGTATTTCCTATATAGTATTATTTTCCTCGGCCTCACTGTTTTACGAATCCAACCATTTTGTACTTGTTTCAGGCTGACATTTATGCATTTTTGTATCGGGAAACTCATATGAAAAAAATCATATAAGTACGCGTTCCAAGACTGCTCCGTTACTTCTGCAATCAGTAGATGATAAGTTAAGAAAAAAACGCTTCGTTTTTCTCTGAAAAACGGCACAAAGGGTTTTCAGTTGCTTTCATTGGTTTATTAACTATCTTAATATTAATATCGACTGCATTTCAGTGGTTCAAATCTTTGCCGTCTACTTAGAAGTTAATCTGTTAAAATGTTCCGATCAGTTAAGAGAAGGCTAAATCATTTTGTAAGAAATGCCTGTAAACTGAAATTAGAGCTTTTAAGAAAATACTGAATGAGCTGAATTTAAAAAAACCGACCAAACTATCAATTGAAACTAACTTGATGCGACAGAGGGGCAATTAATGACCTAAAGAACTGTTCAGACTATTTAAAAACGCCGAAAACCAGGCCTAAATTAAGAAAATCTAAGAATAGTATTGATCAGTGACATTTCAAGAATATTCTGAGCCTGTGTAGCCCAAGTTGTATTTAACAACTAAAAAATTTGACTTATTACGCAACAGTCTCCTGCATTATCTTGGGATCTGTGGCTGTTTACAAAACAAACCGTCCTTTGACAGCAGTTATATGAATTGCTGCACGTCAGAGTTAGTTTAATAAATGACAAGCAGGCAGAACTTTGCAACTTTACTCTTGAAAAGGTGTAAAATGAGTCTGATCTAGTGTCCCTTAAAAATGAATAAGTTTCCGTTGTTAAAAAAGGTCTGTGACGGTATCCGTGAAATAATGTCAAAACATTGGACACTCATTGCGATATCCGACAAGATTTTTTTTTCAGACGTCTCCTATCTATCAATCTGGTCCACCGAAACCCACTTCAAAGGTCCGCTTTTGTCATTCTCCAATATGATTGTATTTGATGCACTTACTTACAGGACTGATCGATAGCAAAGTACACGTAGTGTTAAAAGTAATTTAATCGATCCATTCTCTTGATTTACTATGCAGCGCTTGTTTGGGACGGCGCTCTTTCGAGTATTTAGGCGAGTTTTTTGTACCTAAAGAGTTCGTTACGAATCACATATGGATCGATATGGAATAAGCATTCAAGTATTTTGAACATCTTAACACAATCTTTAATAATCTGCCTATTTCTAAATTCAGGATTTTGTAAATCATTTTCCTATGTTGGTTATATAGTTTTTACATACTCTAAGCAGCAAAAGGATTTCATTCTTTACTCTTTTAAATAGAAACAACAACTTTATTTACATAGAGCCAATCCATTAATTGTCCTCAGAGCTATACAATACTAACATATTACATCAATGTATATCACGATAAACGAAATTAGTAAATTGTTCTTTATTATGAGCTTCATGCGGACCGGATTCCTTATTTATGCTTCCTTTTAAAGGAGCTGTGTCACAAAATTCAGCCAAGTTAGGAAATTACAAAATGCCCATTAGATTAAGAGAAACATAAAAATAACCGCTCAAAACTTTAAAGAAAGGTTAAAATAACATAACAGAAACAACAGATGCCACGGATGGGCAAAACGGAAGAAGATTGAAACCGATTGAAAACTAGGATTTTTGAAAACTGTTCAGCCTAACAGTTTTTCAAAGTTGATCCCTGCTGCTTGCAACTTCAAACATAATGCTCAGGAGACATATTTGTTTGTCTCGGATCTCTGATTTTGTCATTTACATGTGATTTCTTCGCTTACTTTAAGTTCCATAGCGAATGAACTGGACTGCCATGACACAGTCCCTTTAATTGTGCTGAAAATATGCACTGTACTGAGTAGCACAAATGAGCTGACTAGCCCCAAATGCGTTAAAAATATTCCATTTGTGTTGTACTGGTTAGACTCAACTGCGAAAAAATATCCAGGTTACGTCACGTCATATTTAGCTTAGTTCAATTCGGCCCCCAGTTTATCTTTTTGATAACGTGTCTTGATAAAAAGTAAAATATATCGTGATAGCATTCCAGAATACCTGAACTTGAAAAATAGTTTTAGAACTTGATGGCAAATATTCGGTAGAAAATTGGCGAAATAATATAATAGAGCATCATTTTCCAGGGTCCTTTCGTCCACTAAAAAATATTTCTGTTTCAATGGATATTTGGCAATTATTGTACACGGCTATCCCTGATATGAAGAATTATCGCATCTGTTATCAGTACAATTGACGTCAAGTGTATTTATATGGGCAAACATCGTCCAAACCTGGTCAACGCGACTGAGCTGGCTATGAAGAATTAGCAATAGGATTAAAACCAATCAGAAACGGATAAATGTTCTTGAAAAGAAACAAATAATTTAATAAAAATAAATAAATAAATAAATAGACAAAAACTACTGCTGTATGAAAATCGTTTAGCTTTCTGGAAAAAAGGAAGAAGGAGAAGAGGGTGTCTATGTATTTTAATAAACTAGGAGGCCGTTAAGAGAAAAAAATTGTCGGGTCCAGAGCAAAATCTTCGTAACAGAAAATATAGAACAGTCTATTAAACAGATCAGAGATTCCAAATCTCTTTATCTTTAGCACGTCAGCTACTTTTAAAGCTTTTCAATTCACCTATAAGCCAAACAAAAAAAAAAGCTTTCCGCCGGTTGTTCCAGAAAAATAATCGTCGAGGGTTTAAAAAAAATACAGATCATCCCCAGAAATCTTAACCTTAATTCACTTCCAGGAGTGGCCAATACCAAAATGGACAAAATTCCAAATTTTATACTACTACATGAAAAATTTTTGCAATTTGTTCTGCCTAGAGTACTGGTTTTTCAGCTTAATTTGAAATATCTACAAGTGAAAATTACAAACCTTTTGCAGGTAGTAGTGTAAACAAATAATAGCATGATACGTGATATTTGGCATAAATACTACTCGTGCTATTTCAAAATTTTCTCAAATTTCACTCGCCTAACGGCTCTTAAAATTACGTATAACAATTTCGAAATATCACTCGTGGTATTTATGCCAACTATCACAACAAATCATGCTATTACCTATACTAACGAGATGAACACTAAAAACTAAGTAGACAATGTCAAAGTAATACCAAAGAGGCGTCATTTAAATGGTCACATGATCGGATTTATTACAGACTCGAGAGTTAGAAAGAAGGACTTGATCATTAGGGACCTGAAGCAAGGACGACGACGACGGCAGTGAAAACGTTGGTAAAAAAATGAATTTGCGTTCTTTCAAACTTAATCGTGTCTATTTGGACCCGCTTAATATATCAAATGCAGGCGACTTTTCCGGGAGTTATATTCTTAAGGATTTCATTCAGGTTCAAAAAGATGAAGGGAAATTCGTCGTCGTATGTCCACGTCCTCTATAAAACGTCAAATTAGGAGGTTTCACTTCGTAATCGTGCAGTGGACGTCAAAGAAATGTACTAAAAAGCGTGATGCACGCGCAGAGCTGTTGTTTTGATCATTAAACTTATTGCTTTTTTGAAGTCGTCGTTGTGGTCGTCTTCGTAGTTGCTTCAGCTCCCTATTTACTCTGGGAGAGGGGCTTTCAGCAACGACGTTTTTGAGCGACGTACGTCAACCGGAAGTGAGCCTTTTTCTCTTATAATATGCCTTAACGGTACTAAATTTTTACTGATAACTGTGTTTACTCTTATAGAGACGATCTGCCCGAAAATGTGCTCAAAATCACGGCTCAAGAGTGCAAAAAGTCCACTTCCCGTCAACGTGCGTCGTTCAAAAACGTCGCTGCTTAAACTCCCTGGTGCACCAGTACTAGTGACTGGGAACCAGCATAAAATGGTATTACCGTACTGGGCCACTGTTCCACTGCATGCAGTCAGAATTTGATGACTCGTAGCTAGTGACAGGTGTGAGCGAGCTTAAGAGAATTATGACGTACCCCCGCTGATAGCGGCGAACGATTTTTCCTCTGCCTTGGCTTTTCATTATAACACGCTTTATACTAGGCGAAGACCCTCAGGATGGTTGCCCGAGGGAGGACGTCCATCGAGACAAACACAAAAAAAAATTGCGAGGATAAACTCTTTCCAGTTTCCATTTCCTTTCGCTATCTCCAGTCTCCTATCTTGCCAAACCTCGATTCTATTCATAAAAGAAAATCTTGCTCGCAGTTTAGACATGGGTCCATTGTATTATTAGGTCGTTATTATTTTACACTGAAAATTCAATTAACTTTGTTGCTCATTTACAAAATGGAAAGAACCCCGCTGAGAGTAAATTTCTATTTTTTGACTCAGGTGACTATAAATGTTGAACATGCTGTGACCTGGTGCAAGGTAGATCCCAAAATAGCCCTTTTTATTCCGATCATGGGAAAAAAAATACTTTTGCATTGCGTAATAGTGCCATTGTTGCAAAGGTTAAAGACTTTCTAATTAACTATAAGTCATTTTTTTAAGTCTGCAACTTCTTCTGTACAAGATCCGAGGTCATTTTTTATATAAAATATCACGCAGTAAAGGTGAAAACTAATTGTATGAAAAGGTATGGTGTGCAAAGAGAAACAGAAAGGACAAAGAAAAGCAAAATTTGAAGGGACCTGAAAGAAAACATCCTACAGCCTTAGGCCCAAACAAAAAGCTATCAATCACTTGTAACTGGAAACTGAAATTCTTGCGGGAGAGTTTGAGTTTTAAGACAAGGACAATATCATGTTCCAGAATTTTAGATCACAGTGAAACGCTAACGACCCTAGTGGAGCGTGAGAACCAAGCACCTTCAAGTCGTTTTCAGGTTCGGACGATTTTATATGAAGGCCCGGCGACGAGAACTAATACTTAAAAGCTATAAGGACTTGTTTTTAAACTTATGAAAAACTCCTACTTCACAATGCTCAATGACGAGTACGTACATTTGTAAGGACCTCAAATCACGACCACACCCAAATCTAGTTGAAGTGCATAACATTACATAATCAAGCTTAAAAATATCATAGACCTACAAATTAACAAAAATAGCCGTTGCATCACGTCGGGCGCAGAATTGAAACTTGGTTAAATTGCATGGGTCGAGCCGGATGCCCTTTTCTTTCCAAACTTTGCTCGGCTCAGTTCCTCTGGTAGCCTTGCAAACGTGAAGCACGAAATCACGAGGCTCAAGTCGAGTTTTTATTGCATGGTTGACATCTTAAAGCGGGTTAGAGGGATTACAGTCAGGCAGGAGTAGCCAGCTTGAATTTAACTTACATGAGAAGAAGCAATTACTTGTTGTCTGACAAAGATAAATGATAGTTTCAGCAAATCATAACTTATAAGGTTACAGATGCTACCTAGCGCACTCTGATTCATCAAATTGTTGCTAGCATATATTTTAAAATGATTCAAATAACTGGGTCTAAACTCCGCTTGCCCATGAGGATATTAAATATAAAGCGATAGATGTGACGGCACTCGACTGTCTACAAATTAAAGAATAGAGCCTCAATGACTCGCACTATTGGAGGCTGTATGTAGACAATCGAAACACGTCCGGTAATGGGAAAATCGACAACAATTGAAAGTGCAGGGTTAACGTTAACTATCATGCTTGGATCATTGATTTTTGTTTTGTCCTTCTGCACAATAACAGATAGCTCAACAGTCAAGTCAATTAACTCATTTTGATGATTATTGGAAGAAAAAGAGATATCTAGTACGCATTGTGCCAGCTAAGAATTACAGTTGGGGTAAAACCCACCCAAGTACGAAAAACGTCATCACAAATAAACCAGTTTTTCCTTAACATTTGCCAAATCATTTCCCAAATGAAGACGTTTCGAAGCAACAGATCTAGATGTCACCGTGACTTGAACCAAACTTAAAATTCCAGACACATTTCAGAAATCTTTTTTGGAAAGAGTAAAGGTTATCTTTTGATCCTTTCGTTCTAGAATGATCTTTCCGGCTTATCTAGTGTTTAGCTAATGACCCTCTTTGCGCCTTTATATTCCCTGCAGCCCACCCTTGCAGTGCTTCAACAAGGAAACAACTTTATTGACTTCAATTGGACTTGTTATTGAGGCTTTCCAGTCAGCTTTGAGGCAAGTCCAGTAGTAACAGTCTTTTGGTACACAAAAGCGCGTTCACCTCTTTGTCATTATGCGACAAACAAATTGCTGCTTTTGACCTCCTTGTGAACAAGCGCGTGGCAAAGAGTTTATCGTAGAGACCCAAATTGGGTGAAGGACCACCTTTTATCACCATTGTTTTTAAGAAAGGAAAAAAATTCATTCAAGCTAGCTTTCAATTGAATCGACAGATGTTTTTAAATTCATAGTCTGGGTTACTATTTACAATATGATAACTGGCAAATATTGCCCTTGAGGGAATAATTCAGGAAAGTTTTGACATCTTAAAACTGCAGGCACAAATGGTACCACTAAATAGGCTACAAGTACTCGACTACAGGGGTACAGAACGACATAGGACAGCTGGTGTTTAAGTTGGACTTTTGGGTCCAAGATTTTCCAACAAATCATTTGGAGCGACCAACGAATTTATTCCGTCTCATTATTTAACGTTCACTTGCATGACCAAAGCCTGCCCAAAGATTTGTAGGTCTTAATAGTTGGTAATCCGTGTCACATGGATGGCACGTGTGCGTGAAGTCAGCCCGAATAACCTTCAACCTTCACTGCAACTAACAAACTTCTCAACCAATCACTTCACTCGTCACATAAGCAGTGCTACCACATCGCTTACTCTAATTATCTTCACTTCAAATAACTTTGCAAAAAAATAGCCAAGGCTGTTGACCAAAATTGATATTCAGTCGGGCAGATAAGCTGGGTTATTTTTGTGTATTTCCCTGTGACCCTAGGGCTGTCTAATCAAATTTCTCAGCACGAATACTTCAAAAATAGCACAGACCATTGTGGTCTTTTGTAGAAATTATTGGTATGTCTTTGAAGATTCAAACTATCATAAGGTGAAAAAAGTAACATTAATTTGCGCAACTGAATTATTTCTGAATTCTTTTTCATTTGATTTGGTAACCTCGTTTAAACTCTATTAATTGCTTTCCAGAAGAAGCGAGCTAACTATGTGAAGTGCCGATAAAGTTAAGTGTACTTTATTAGAAGCACGTCCCGAGGTAGCATACACCGGAGAATACAAAGAGCACTCACTCAAAACGTGCGCTAATAAATTACCGTCTTCTTATTGACCCGAAAATAAAAGCGTGATAATAGCCATCAAAAACTAGTGGGTCAATCAGGTGTGTAAACAATTTGTCGCATATTTATACTCAATCTCAATTCCTCTTGAGACCATATGAACCTTGGACGCCGGCGATACAGGGTGTTAACACGAACACTGTATACAATTGTTCACTTTTCTCCCGTTCAAGCTGTCAGGATGAGCCTTCTGTTTGCTACTGAAGATTTTTCCACTTTTGGGCAGATTTTGCTACTTTGCTTGCTGATTTGTGTGTTTCTCTCTGGAAAAGCCATTTGGGAACATTCTTTTTCAAAGCTTCCTCCCGGGCCCTGGGGTCTGCCTTTGATAGGTAAGAACTGAGATTTCTTCCTTAAATCGTCAAATTCCTGGCTTTATGCTTTAGAGAATCATCAATAATAACCAAATCGACAAAAGGACTATTCACAAGTTTTAAAGTCACTACTAGCGCTCCTTTCAAAAGTTTAAATTCCGTAACATGAAAACTAGAGGCCGAATATAGTTAACTTAACGACATCGGCACAAAGACACTGAAAGCAATTCCCGAGAAACAACTGAGAAATTAACGTTTTGATTTTCATGTACTTGTAAGCTGTTAAAAAAATGTCACGTCTGTAGTTTATCTAAAATACCAAGTTTGCAGTCAGATTTGTTTCTGAGCAGGTTCTCCATAAACTCTGTGGTTTTGTTAAGCTCACACCAACTTCCCGCTCTCTGAACAAACCTTCCAAATTAAATTTATTCCTGAGTTCGATAAAATTGTAAAACATGAAAACTCTAACATTGTTCTGAAGAAAAAATTGTCGGCAAGAAAGGGTCTTTGTTCTCAACTGATAAAACTGCATAATGAATGTATAATTAGAAGGCCAGTCCATTGCATGACACGAGCGTACAAGTAAGGTGAATATTGCGTGCTCTCAGCGAAGTACAATAGTGACGAGGCATCCTTTATTTTCAGTGACAGTTTTTTTATTTTCAACAGCGAGGATTGACCAAATATGCCTGACGTATGATTTTTATTTTGAAGAGATGGCACAATATGCGATCATCCCATTATTACTTAGCAGGTTGTTCTCTGAGAACTGGTTCGTATATTATTTTAGAAGAAGAAATGAGCGATATATCCATTTTACAAAGAAGACCCATTGACAAAAAGTAAGAGTAAAAAAATCCGTGAATTCTTTGTAAAGGTACTGAGAATGAAATTAAGACCAACAGAACTTTCCGCTTTGCTTGTGTGCAACACTGAAATGCTTTGAGCTTAAACAACTCTCAACTTCTAGTGGAAAAAGTGGGTGTAAAATAAATGAGCAGTAATCTTCCTTAAAATATCCACCCGCGCCCACTCGAATAGTTTCAATCCGCATAGCAAGTCTCATGAGTGATTTCCCTTACGCATTTTCTCTAGTTCAACATCAACATAATAAACACGCTAGAACTATAAGATGATCGTCCGATCGAGAAGCAAGTAATCATTTTAACTAAAGACGTATACGTGGAAATAGCCAGCCAGGCAAGGGGAAGGGCCAGTTAAAGAGACATTCAAATCTTTTACTCATAACAGCTTTACAAACTGAAAGTACCGCTGAAGTTTTATTTGGATAGTCATACTTTAAGATCCGTTCACAGGTTTGAAAGTTACATCTACCTAATAAGGTTCCGTTGGGGAGCAAAAAGATTAAGGGTACGAAGGGAATCCAAGTTAGGTAGAAGCAGCTGGTCTGGACGCCACATTCACAAAGCTAGCAAATTTGCAAACAAAAGCTAAAAAAAAAATAAGAAAATTGACTTGAGCCCCTTGAGACAGATGTTTTTTACTTAGAAACAAGACGAGCTAGTTAAACTTTGTAAATATAGGAGATTAAACTCGTTAACACAAGAGTGCTTCCGCATGAACAAATTTATTTAAAAACACAGGAGTCTGCAAGAGCCAAGAAAGGATTTTCATAACTGATAACTATTTTAACGCTCCAGCGGAAAAATGATCGTAACAAAAAACAACATTAGGGCACCATGCTGCTGTTTTTTTCTCTTATTTAGTCTACTCCCGTTGATGTATTCGTCTAAGAAAAAAAGGTTCTTTTTTCTTTTGTGAAAAACGCTTCCATGAGATCCCTCGCTGAGTAGTATATTAATCCATTTGCTACAGTTTTTAAAGCCTGGGATCTCGGAGTCTCAATAGGCACACTCATGCGGGGCGCACGCCCGTGCTGCGTAAAAAAATTACTTATTTGTCTTGTAGACTCAGTTGTCGGCTGTCCTTTCGAAAAACTTATTTCCGTCATCTTCGCCTCATATAGTCACTGAAAATTAAAGAAATGATCCTAAGTTGTTGCAGCCATTTATAATAAATACACCTTTGAGTTTGTCCATTTCCCGTGACATTGCTCTTTATATTAAAAGCGTCACTTCTCACCGTAATTGTCACCCACTTTTACTGAACAGCTCTTTACGAATTTATTACTGAGAGCCTTCTCGTTGTTCTCCTAAACATCATAGATGCAGTTTAAGGGTCACGAAAATGTGAGATATTCTCATACCTTCCGTCACTATGTTCGTCATGTTCCAAGCCAAATATTTTTTAGGGGTCCTCTGTAACGAACAAAATCGTGAAATGCGACTCAAATTCCGTGCTTCACACGACGACAATGAATGGAACAGTCATCTAGAAAGTTTATTAATAAGCCCTTCACGAATTATAGAAATTCCTACGTAAGATTTACTTTTTCGAACAGTTATTGCACCTGTGTTTTGTTCCATGATTTCTTAACACGGGAAAAGAACGCACACGACGCACCGGTCCAGCTGAGTCTGTTTAAAATATGAGGAAATCTTACCAGAGATTTAACCGCTGGGGTTGAAAAAGATTTATTTGAGTCTATGCATCGCCATTTCAGCGGATTTCTGAAGGAACTGAGAGGCTACGGAATGCCGCCCACTAAGACCTGCGTAGTTTGCAAGACGGTTCAGGAGACTTGACCTTCAATTTTCCTTAAGAACTCTAATTGTGGCGAACACTATAGAGATTTGAAAAGCCAATAAAAAAGGAAGCTTAAAAGAAATAAAGGATAGTGGGCACTTTATTGACATTAAAATTAAATTAGACGCAATACTAACTTAGCGTAGCGCTTTTAAATGGTGCTTTAGAAAGTCTCTCTAATAAAGCACTATTTGCTGACTACTACGAAGTAATCCAAAGAAATCAACAGACTGTGAAGAATGACCGATTTTAAAACGTTTGTTGTTCATCGGATTTCGTTTTGCAAACTAACACAAGTTTCTCCAATAACGTTGCATCGTGTGTGACAGCTTTTGCGACATCATCGAACTTACCAACCGCAAAGATTAGTAAACATGACGGTGCAAACCTCAGCTGAACAAAATGTGGGAAACCGAGCAATTAAGTGGCTACCACACATCTGCAGTAATTAGTTCAATCCTGAGTTACAAAATTTTGTAAGCCCTGCTGGTTGACCTTAAACAAGAGAAGCTGATATCAATGGTCTATTATCTTTACGTTTATTGCATATTATCAAACATACCCACAACAAAAGAACAATTGTCAATGTACAGTGGCAACCTTATTTATATTGCACGCATCGCTTAAGCCGTTACTAATTTCAGAGACGTCAAGGGCATATCGTGCCAGTTTCCTTAAGTTCAGGGAGATTACGAAGCGACATCGACCAAAACCGCTTCCTATATGAAACTAGAAAAAAAATCGTGCATTCTAGTATCAATAGGCTCCAGACAATGGGTTTCCTGAATTTTTGTGTAGGCTATATTGTCACCACAGATTGGCGTTCCTGAAAAAGAGGTGTTCTTTTTAAGCCTTTTGAACGAAACTCACGGGTTGCTTACGGCGCCTTTTTTCAAGGGCGTTCCTTTTCATACTCTCTTATCGTATAGCATGAACGATATCGATACTGAAAATTGTTGTTTGCATTACGGCTTTGCTGTTAAAGAATATGATTGACCACGATTTGGCCCCTTTCATAAGCAGTTCCTTTATGAATACAACGCGTGACTTTTGCCTTAGCAAAGAAAACAACATCTACTCAAGTCGGCCCCGAAGTACCGGTTTGAAAAAGAAAAAAATTAAAGGAAAAGCAAATATTATGCAATCAATAAAAAAGTGATTTGCTTTGGCTTAGCCCCTTTCCTAAGATTTCTTAACAGCTTCAACGCGTGACTTTTGCCAAAGGAAAGAAAACAACGTCTATTTATATCCACCCCGGAGGGCCTTTTTTTAAAAATGAAAAAAAGGGTAGAGGTAATGTTATGTAATCAGCCGAAACACAAAAAGGAAGGTTAAACAGCTCTGAGATAGGCAAAATAGCACATACAGACGTCGCACAATAAGCGATTCCTTGACTAACGCTGGGATATATCATTCTGTGTTCATTCCTGGGACAGGTTCTCTTTTGACATGATGTTAAAATTTCAAGATATTCGCAATAGCGTCACAATGTCGTCTCTTTCCTTTTCTCAATTTTGTATTTCTACTACTTCCTGTTTTTCTCTAGCTCCACACTCCGATGAGACATTCTCAACACCGCTTACCGGTTAAACTAATTGTGTCCTACAACTAGCCAGCAAGCTAGTTTTTCACGCTCTTTTGTTGATTCAGATAAAAAACGCTTTCCCAACAGTTTCACACAACAACGACACGTTTGTCATAAATATCATGAGATCCCTCCAGGCTATATTCAACAATTTCACAGTTGTAATAAGTCAGCTTTCGACATTTTCGGTATTTCAATTAATACACTCTTATTATTATTCTTAGGGTCATGTTTCCGCTTAGGAAAGAACCCACATCTTGACTTCACAAAAATGGCCCAGAAATATGGCGATGTATTCAGTCTAATGCTTGGAAATCGTTTGGTGGTAGTGCTGAACGGATTCAACGCCATCGAAGAAGCCTTGATCAAGCAGTCGACTGCCTTTGCCGGACGGCCACAATTGCACACCTTCAAGCTGGCCAATCGAACAGATAGCAGCATCACGTTCACGGATTACTCACCTCGTTGGCGTCTTTCTCGAAAGATCGGTGTTAGTGCGATCCAGAACTTCGTAAAGGACAAAGATACCCTGGGACAGAAACTGCTTCAGGAATCTCAACGCCTGGTTCACTGTCTCAAGCAGCAGAAAGGAAAACCCGTAGATGTTCACCTACCTCTGCAGTGCGCTACCTCCAACATAATAACCGATGCACTGTTCGGAGTCAGCTGGTCATACAGCAACAAAGCTGTCCATAACATGCTTCAACTGGCCGATAACTTCCGAGTTGCTATAACAGGTTGCAGTCATGTTGATTTCCTACCATTGCTAAAACATTTGCCTAGTAAAGCGCTTTCAGATCTTACCGCTGCAGTCAAATCTGTGTTGGATGTCATTTCCCAGTTGTATGCCAAAAATACAGAGACTTATGTTGGGGGACAGGTTCGTAACATCGCAGACAGTATTATCAACGTCGTCGAAAAGGAAACTGAAAAAGAAAGAGAAAATCGTCCACAAGGAGAGGACACGTTAAGTATGGCTCCTCTGCTTAGTGACGAACAGATTATCCGTGTGTTGGGAGATTTATTTGGTGCTGGGTTTGACACTTCGGCCATTACTCTTCGCTGGAGTTTGGCATACCTCACTAAATATCCCGAGATCCAGACCCAGATACAGGAAGAATTAGACCTCGTGATCGGCCGAGAACGCCTGCCCACTCTCCAAGACATGCCATCACTTCCCTTCTTTCAAGCAGCAGTCTACGAACTGTTTAGAGTGACTTCTGTCGCTCCTCTTTCCGTTCTACGCTCCACGACCGTTGAAGCAAACATCCGGGATTTCACCATCCCTAAAGATACGGTCGTCATGGTCAATCTGTGGTCAGTGCATCGCGATCCAGAAATCTGGAAAGATCCAGATGTCTTCGATCCTAGACGTTTCCTGGATGGAGCAGGACAAGTGATCGATCCCAAGTTCTTCCGAGGATTTATGCCGTTCTCCTGCGGTCGTCGCAAATGTCCTGGTGATGTTCTGGCCACCAAACAAGTTTCTGTCTTGCTTGCCGCATTGCTTCACAGCTTCCGCTTCACTCAGGATGGTTTGCCAGCCGACTATAAGGGCATTAATCTTCAGGGTGAATTTGGTCTTACCTTGGTGCCACAGAAGTTTTACGTGAAAATAGAAGAACGAAATTGAAAAGAACTCTGGCAAACAAACACTTATTAGAAACTTATCGTTGGTTATTTGAGTGTTGAATTAGCTTGATGTGCTGCTTTTTTATAAATTCAGAGTAGAATTTTGGCATCAGCGTCAAAAAGTGTTTAAAGATTGTTAAAAGACAAGCGGTACGTTTAGTTTTGATGTTAAAGACCGTCTTCTCTTTCAGCTACTTAATCTATAAATGTACTCTAAACAAGATTATAGACATTTTAAATTATTTTCCAGTTTAAAGGGTTTCGTTTATCATTTGATTCATGGTTGGCACTTAGATATTGATCGCGACGTTTCAACCGCGTACTGCAGGTCTTCATCGCTGACGTGATAGTGTCGATTTACCAAGTAGGACAATTTTAGAGTTTTTCTGACACGTTACAAGGCTTCCTTTAATTCTAAGGGCTGCATCAAGGAGCACTAAAATCTCAGATTTTCAGGCAGGAATCTTGTATCATTGGTCATTGGGATACTTTTCTCTTACAACAAGGTAACAGCCTCGTCATGCAAATTAGCGGGCAGTGGGTGCCTGTCACCACTTAATAGATCAAATATAGGACTAGGCAACTGTTTGCAACGAACAGTCCTCCTTTCCGTCTTAAGCAAAGACCCCATGTACTGAATGCGTTGGTTATAACATTCACAATTCAAATTATATTTCCCCACTGGAATTTTGTACGAAAGATATCGAGACAATCATTTTGTATTTACTATTTTTTCAAGCTAAATTGTGATCTTTTGATTCATTATGCAATTACCACATTCTGTAATTATTTTGTTACAATAAAAACACATATATTTGAAAAGAATGTCCTTTCCAACACTACAGCAGAGTGAGAAAGTTAAATCGGATGGTCACTATTATTCAGGTTAAATTGTTCTCAGGCTATAGGTAGAAAAGTAAAGAAATAAATATAAAAGTTATAACTGAAAAGTTGAAAAAAAGAAAGAGGGAGAGGGAGGGGGCTGCCTCGACTAGATGGGAAAAATTCTAACTTGAACATTTTTACGCTGCATCAGTTTCCATCCTGGCCATCGAAAGCCCAAGAAATACTTTTTAATTAGTAATGCCAAAAACTCGGATATCCAATACATTAGAAACCGTGTATGATAATGCAATCTATAGTAACTAAAAGTTGTACGAGAATGGTCCTAACGCGGTTGTTCTCAATTTGATATCTGCCGCAAAAACCTCCCCTTACACTACCTGATTGACTTTCCTAGCATAAACGGTCCTTCAAAAATTTTATGTTGCTTGTCGATGTATGACTAATTACATCGATATACTATGGACCGGCATATTTTATTTAAGCGGAAACGGAGGCTCAAACCTACTTTCCTGCATCAGCGCTTTCTTGAGCCTGTCACACGTTACACAGTTTTACAAAAGCACTTTGCTCTACTCACAATACACGTGAACACCCTAATTGCATAACAGCTTTATTACTTAATCGAAAATCACACCGTGATAAATCAATAAGGTTCAATAAAATGTAAACAATATTTATCGGCTTCATACATAAAGACCCTGAAGGCCAGTGATCCATGAATTTGCCATCGACATGCCTGTTTGCGAATGGAAAGTTTTTATCTGTTGGGCAAGATTTTGCTCCCGTTGTATTTCAGAAAAATAGCCATAGAAGAAATTTCTTCGTCCAGTACATTAGGGCCGTCCTAAGGGAGGGCAGCAGGGGAAGGAGTGGTGTCGTGTGAGGGGGGTACTCCCTTTTACGTGGTTGAGCTATCTATAAGCATTTGCAGTAAAGTTTTTAATAGCATTTTGGTTGGGTAGATTTTAACCCTTGTGAGGCAAGGTTCTGTTTACTCTTTTATCTTGAGAAGTGTTGGCCGATGAAAACATATCGGGAATTTAAACCCAATGTTCGCGCAAACGCAAGCTGAGTTTCTGCGTAGCTGGAATTGCGTACTATGGGGTTGGGGGGGGGTCTGATTAGTAGGGTAACAATACAACAGAATAAGTTCAAGGAAAAGAGGATAAGGGATGAAGTAAGTTTCCCCTGCTTCCTACTCGACAATGGCAAGATTTGACCTTCAGCTCGTTCGCAGCACCCTTGGTGCTAATAGACATTGGGACAATTCATCTGAAAACTAAGACGTTTATCGTGTTCAAATCCACCTCTGCTAAGGACTGTCTATCATAAGATTAAAGCAATGAGACGACCCGGCGCCTTATTCGGAGAGCCTTAAAGAGTGCCGGGTGGAACGATCAATATTGCGTACTGTGTCAGTGACTGTGTGTTAGAATACAATTTAAGTGGCAAACAGTGCTTTAAGAGGCTTCACAACTGACTGGTTTTGTACTCGCTGAGTAACATGTCCATTTTTGGATACTTTTGGGGTAAAAAAGATGTTTCTCTCGATTTTTACGCAGCTAATTCAAAGTTGACCAGTTGGCAAAGAGCATCTCCATTGGTTTAGAATTTATCGATGAGATGACTAAAATTAAACTACAGTAATTTCAACTCCCTTTTTCTCTTATGAGGTTCTGACAAACATTCGTGGGATTTCATCATCAATTTAATGAACTCATTCGAAGTTCCTTAGTTGCCAATCTCATTAAGTTTTACTAGTACACTTAGGAAGCGTCATCCATGTTAAACCGTACTTAGTTGAAGCTATAGTCTGTATGTATTAAATCCCCGTACACGCGTTTTTATTTTGATACTAAAGTATTTTCATAGACTTAGCCTTTGCATAAATTATATGATTCAATTATTTTCATTGACTTGGAAATTTCAGAGCCTACAGCAAACCTTTCGGCTGGTCAGTATTAAAACATAGCAGGTGTTAATTAGCAAAACCAAGTCGAACTCTAAACGTCTTTTGATTTTGAGCAATGCCAAAAAGGAAAAAAAATTGCCCAGACCAGTCTATTTAAAATGTTTCTCTCCAAAGGTAACGACAGTCAATATTCAAAAGGATGTTCAAATGTTATTTTGTAAAATATACTGAAAACGAGCAGTGTCTAGTGAAGTGCCGCTGCCAAAGTTTGATTCATGGTTTAAATGGTCACGCCCGGATAGGATTAATTTAAACCCTAATATCTCCGAACTGCTTTTCTTACATTTCTTATCATACTGGTTAAGAAAATTTGTTTACCTAAAAACTTGAGAACCTGGGAATCTGTTGATCTTTTCCTTTTTTCTCGTGACCTACATGTTTGTTTGAGCAGTGTTACGGTAAGGAGAAAATTAAATATTGATAACTCCAAGAAGTTAAAGGGTTAAACAGGGTTTGAGTTAGACATAGTTTACACTTGCTCGCAACAGAGTCGATCGTCAATTGAGACAGAGCTCCGGATTCTTTTGAATAGTATGACAAGCGATATGAATTTAGATCTGCAGCTTTTAAAAATCCACATTCACACAATATTCTCTTTCAGAAAGGATTCTTATTTCAGATTGATTATGTTTTTCTCTGTAGATACCTGATATATTTCGTTTCTTTGACTTTCTCCTTGACAGATCGCTCACGTCTTCCGTGTTTTCGTACTAACTTTAGCTTACATAATTATACAGCGAGTGTCTCGGGCATTTCATTCAGCCAGACCATGTTAGCTCATATTGTTTCAACATTCAAATCCTCAAATCTTAGCGAAATTGGGAATGTTCATCGGGTGAAATAAGCAAAGACCTTCTCTGGCAGAGCGCGGGAAAAAATATGGAAACTCGAAACAGTTGATCGACGTCTCAGAGTACTCAGGTCTCGACAGAGAGAAAAAAAAAACTTTCGCCGCCACCATCACTGAAACATTTTGTATGAAAAAACGAGACATTTTGTCCTCAAATCCACGTTAGCAATGAGACAACTCGACGTCTTAGTCAGGTGGCCTTAAAGAGTGCACTGGAACGGTAAATTTGCGTGCTGTTTGCCGGATCACAGAGTTAGTGGGAAAGAATTGCTTTATGTGGTTCCACAACATCCTCTTCCTTGTAAACAGGTTCTAGCTTCTAAAGTTCACCATATATTTTTTAAATATCCATTTTTGCATTTTTTTTTCAGTGTGACTGTTTTAAAATCGTTCCGCAGGCTGCCGGGCTTCTTGTTAACAAAACAAATGAGTTGTCACATGAAAATTAACCCTGAATTTGTGTTGTTCATAAGATGATCGTCCTTCAAGAAACACCGTTCGCTGCCAATCAACCCATAACCTGTTCAAAAACGTTTTCCTTTCCTATTTCGACAATTTGGTGTGCATGCAAGCGAAGAGAGCGCACGAAAGCGTCTATTTACTCCTTTGCCCACCCCCTTGCCCTGTGCGGTCAATAAATCCCCGCGGTTATATTTTCACACGCGCGCTCGACTATCTCTAAAGAGAAAACAGAGGGTCTCTGAACAGGCTAGCCAACCCAAAGTAAACAGATTATCATACACCATACGAGACATTAGCGGTGTGATTTGTTTTCTGTTCTTGGAAAGGAGGTCGCTGCTATTAAACAGCAAATTATCAACTGTAAAACAAACAATCTACGGACGAAGGGCGGGAACATTGGTTGATATTTGGGTCTCAGCTCAATGTTGAGAAAGTCGCTGAATATCACTTATATTATCCTGCATTGCGGTTATTTGCTAATCACGAATCTGCCCACATCAAAGGGAAGAACGAATGCATGCGTATGTAGCGGCAGCTCGATAAACATTACCACACATGTACTCCTGTCTCATGGTTATATATGTTCCGTTTTGGTCAAGTTAACAATGAAAGTGGCGAACTGATCCTCACAAATATAAACAAGTACCTTAGTTACCACATTTTTAAAACTCTGAAAGACCATCTATTTTTAAGTTAAAGGCAGCATTTTTTTCCTTTATACTTTCTATTTTTTGCATCAACGGGATGGATTTTTGTTTGCGGTAAGCATAAGCATAAGAATAAAACAAAGATGTCTTTAAGTGCGGAATACTCAATGATGACTGTATGTATGAAGGCGTAACATAATTATATTACCATAACTGTAGCAATTACCGAATTAACGTCAGGACAGAAGAATACAGCTATTGTTAGTATAGGCATGAGTACATGATGATTGTTTTTTATCATGGATCA